AAAAACGTAATTTTTGAAAAATGTTTAGAAATATACGGCCAGCTACTATTCACCTTACTTTAAACCCTTCTCCTCTTGAGACTTTTATGAGAATGTTCCGCGAAAGACGATACCAGCTATTCTCAAAGTCATCAGCTGTAAACACAATTATTGCAGTCAGATTTCGCAGAAAGGCGAGACAATGGAAGTTAAACTTTGAAGCTTTCTCTTCAAAATTAACGCATTTCTTTCGTTTTTTTCAGTTTTAAATATTTTTTATGTTTAATTACATTAAAATTAAAAATTAGTGGGTACCAAGGGAGTTAAAGAAAATTATAATTAAATATAGCTTTGTAAAGAAACGTTGATTAAAATAACATAGTCTTCTTTACTTTTTAAAATGTTAAAACAATCCACGTAGTCAAATAGCTCCCTACGAGTGGCTAATGGATGGAATCAAAGTAGGTTGCATGGACACGCGGACTGCAAATCCCGAGGGTGCCGATACCGGTCAATGTCAAATGCCTCTTTTGTCACATCACTAGTATATCTCAAAGGATGCGACAGGATTGTTGTAAATTTTAAACGTTTCTTACTATAGCTGTAAAAATCTAAATATGTTAAACTTAATAGATTGTCCGTCGTTTGTTTTCTAACTAATTCGTTTTAGGACCAGGTGTTGTCCATGGAAATGTCCAAAATTTACAACTTTTCGGTCACTCTCGTTGAACTGGAAAAATTACTGTCTTTATTACATCTAATATTACGAAGAAATCAGTCCCTATTGTACTCGGCTAAGATTGGTTCGGTTAAGCTTTTGTTTAAGTAAAATTTAGGATCTTTCAGAAGGGTTTTATTTACAATAAGTTAAAACCAGTTACTTTGTACTTGAATATTTGTAGTCTTGGGAAAGAAGTGGAAAGACAATTTTTTATGACAACGGATACATAAATCATAAATTTAAGGAAAATAAATTCTAGGGCTTTTTTGTACCTTGTGCATCTTATTCATTACATTTACTGTAGTTGTAAATGATGCTGTCAAAGTAACAGTTAATTTTTTAACATTGTATAAGGATTGTACACTTTTTCTGCATCCCCTTATAGATGGGACATACTAAATGGTAATATCACTAGTTTAACATTGAAATCTGTAAGTAAATACAAGACGAGAGAGCAGAATAAATATATCAAGTATTTTAATGAATTTTTTTTAAACTTCTGTTAACTATACAAAATTATCATAAAAACATACCAGTAAACTCCTGTCAGCTGGGTTAAGTTATAAATCTACTCGCGATTCACATGATGGGGGCTAAACATCTAGCAGGCAGGCGGCTAACAGCCCAGAACCGGTCCTTGATAGAATCATTGGAAGCGTTACGGTGTGTAGCATCCACCAGCTAAACTGCGTGAGGTTGGTACTCTGTAAAGCGAATGCGCATAATCTGGCTGCTTTACATTATTCAGATATTTTGGCCGTGGAAGCTGTCTCCTTTCTTTTAAAACTCTCTTTCCGCCCTGTGGGCACTAATTGGGCTTCTTGTTGCAAGCCCATTATGGGTTCGGCCAGGCCCACAATGGGGCTGCCGGGTGGTGACGGACGGGGCCCAACATATCTGAACGGACCACCCCCCGAAAAATTCCTGGGGATTTTTTCGACCCGTTCGGATTCGAGCCCGGGTCCCCCAGAGCGGTAGGCTGCCACCTTGACCGCTCGGCCATCCGGCCGCGACATAATGTGGTTATAATAAAATATTAATTTTAATTAATTCAAAGTACGTACGTCAAAATATGAAAGTAGTCGCACAATATGTGTTTATATTTTAGAAAATACAAGGGAAGCGGCGCTTCCACCGCTTCCAAGGACGGCACGCCACTGTTTGGCATTCATATTGATTAATTTAATCGGTGTTATCGCTATCACCGATTAAATGAGCCAAGTTCAGTTCCAGTAAAATTTCAGAAAAGATTTATAAACACAATTCACATCAACAGCTGACATAAACTTTGGCTTAGACGTAATGTCTTTTATCTTCTCCATTGAAAGTAGGTTTGCTGCAGCGACAATTGGTTTCATCTTTGAAAATTCAGTCCGACAGTCAGATTCTGACTGTCGGACTGAATTTTCGAGTGCTGTTACATTAGAGACTAATTCTGGAACTTCATGATCTGATTCTTGCGACGCACTATGTACAGTACATCGCTTACTGTTTTCTGTTCTGCTTTCTCTGGCGACTTTTGTTTTGTGGGTTTACTTGGAAGATTTTTGTTTTTGCGACAATAAGACTATTGTCAGAAGCTAATTGTATATATATCTTATTGCATCAATACATGCGTCTGTGTCATCTGCTGAATCTAAAAATAACCAAGAACGATTCACGAAAATTATTACTGTTATATGGCAATAACGAATTAAATATATTTCTCGGATTACTTCAAGACAAGCAACATAATTTTAGTCTCCATTTCTATCTTAACGTTATCTAAAATGTCATCTTCCTTGGACGAAACTGAATAGTTACGTTCCATGTTTACACTTCTAGAAAAGGAACAATTTCATTCTTTATACAGATAGCATTGTCTGCACCGATAATATAGTATTGATAAATAAACGCATTAGCTTTCACTATGCATTGAGACTAACAAAGATGTATTACAGTAGAGTCCCGAAAACTCGGCCTAATGTGGACCGAAGGGTGGCCGAGTTTGTGAAAATGCCAGATTAAAGGGAATAAAATGGGGTTAAAAAAGAATAAGTATGAGTGTTTTCTCAGAAAATACTGTACTGTACTTGTATTTATTGTTTGCTTGAGAATACAACAGAGAATAAACTGCCCAAATACCCTTAAACAATGCAAAAGTGCGTACTGTATGAAAACCTTTACTGCATGAAAATGAAAATTAATGAATACACAGTAAACAATAATTTACCTGATAAGACAGACCTCAGAAAAATACTTTATGAGGCATAAAGCTGTCTATAATGAAAATTAATTAGGGGTTTTTTTGTTCTGCCAGGGTGTGGCCGAGTTATCCGGACTGCCGGGTTATCGAGTGCCGAGTTTTCGGGACTCTACTGTATCAACCTACATGTTTTCTCTATTATAATATCGTATCTTCCCTGTAAACAAAACCGCCTTCTTCATAATTATGTAAACGCTAATTCACAAAAAATATTTATTTTACTACATTAAGATGCACTATGCAACACGAACCACACAGATAAACCATTACCGTAGAAATTCACGACAATTACAGGCAAGAGGACTGTTGCATGGCAAGCGCATGCGTTTCCATTAATTAAGAGAGGTCAGCAACGTGATTAAATTCACCAGTTCGATTGGCTAGTGGACATGACGAATTAATACGAAAGAAATTGAAGTTTAGAGATATGACAGTATTGTACAACCATTTTCTCCTTTTATATTACCTTTATTCTTATTTTGTTTAGTTAAGTTACAGCAACGCAACACTTGGGCAATCTGCCTAGGGGGATGCCTTCCAGGAGGTCTTTTTAAGGATAACTGGCTCCTATTCAGGCGTTATAAACGTGGAGAAAAACCTGAAAAACTCCCCTTGACCAGCCCGTCCTGGCAAGGCGCGAACTAATGACCGAACTCCGTGTTCAGGGCATGGTACCGCTTGACCACTGGTAGACCTATTGTTATTTTGACTATGCAGGTACGCAGGTACCGTTACGAGCGCAATCTCAGCTAAATAACTCATTTTCCCGCAAAAGTAAAGATACGACAATTTTCAGCCGTCCATATACTGAATGCATCAATCGATCAAAATGGAGTGATGATAATTTCTCATTTATGCAAAATATATAAAAAAATCTGGGACAGCTGATCATTAGGGGTTAGTGGACTGCACTCAGCCAATAATTTAACAAATAAATAAATATTACGAAGAAATATTAGATATACTGTACAGTAGAAACGTGCACTGTTGCTGCTGATTACCGCTAGTTGGCGTACTAGCGAAACATGGTTGAGTTTACAGAGCATTGTGATTAGCTCCATAAGGTCCCGTTTCCATTGTTCTCTTGACTACATAAAAGCTTAGAAACAAACTTGAGTAATTTATACAAGTCGACAGTTGTACCTATTTTGCAAAACAAGAAATTTCTTTCCACGAAGACATGAATAACAATAACTAGGTTATCGTCTGTTTTCTAAAGACAAAAATACAAATCATATCAAAGTGAATTTAAGCTATGTTAAAGACTATCTTCTGTCACAAAAATTGTATCCAATCTAAAAAGTCTATAACGAATTTTAGTATTCTTTTGTTTTTGGTACTTCAAATTTATAAGATTTGGTTCGGTTTTATTCCATTAAGGCAACACGACACATGGGCGATCTGCCGAGGGGGAATGCTTCCCAGAAACTATTATACGGTTCTATTTTATATTAGGTGTTAATAACATGAATAAAACCCGGAAAACACCACGTGGCCAGCCCGATGGCAAGGCACGAACCAACGACCAACTACAAGTGCCCAGTGGCTTTATCCACTCAGCCGCTGGTGGACCGATTTATAAGTCTTATGTATATTACTGATATAGAACTTACAGAAATGGCATGAAATATTTAGAAATTCATAATTCTAAAATGCTAGGAATTATATTCGAAATGATTTTGAATGTTTAAAGTTGTTTTGATCTGTCAATTTATTAATAATTGTTAGAATTGTATCACATCTAAACATCATGTACTGTATTGAAAAACAAGTTTAACTTTGTGACAGCTTACCAGTGGCCGAGTGGATAACACTACTGAACTTGATTGTGGTTTCCCGTCTCCCCAAAATGCTGGCCAAGTGAAGTTTTCCGGGTTTTCTTCACGTGCCTAACACATAGATAGGGGTCAGTTTTCCATAGAATCCTCCTGGGAAGCAGATCGCCCATGTGTCGTACAGCCTTATTTCATAAATCGAATCAAAAATACTTTTTTAATCAAGATTTCACGCGTTGATTTTAAAAATGAAAAATAAATTTCAAAGAGCTTTAAATTTCTTAGAAGCTTTTATTCTTTATTTAAAAATAATACAATTCGACACGAAACTTAATCTTTATTCTTTACATAGAAAACAGGAAAAACCTGTAATAGCGAACTAACATATTATTATTTTTACGCAATTAATCAGTGAATTAATCAGCAGGTTCTTGGCATTGTGTGCAAGCTAACATTTCTTCTTTATATTCCTCTACTTGTAAAGTCAACTCGAAAATATTGAAATTTCGATGAATGGCCCGCGATGCTTGCTTTAAAATATCCATAGAACTTTGACCTTTGGCTATATAAAACAAAAACAACAATATATATACCGGTAATATACAGGGATGTCCCATAAGTCTGGAACCATAGAAGTTATGTTAAACTTTGTTCATTCTTTCACATGATACTGGGTAAGGAGTAAATTCGGGTTATTTCGATAGTGGGAACTTGTAATCAGCGTAGAGCTTTACAGACTGATCCAGACCTGTGATTGGTAGAAATTCTGGATTCAGTTTGTTAAACTCCATTCTGACTCCATTAAAATAACCCGAATTCGTTCTTTACTCGGTCGGCATCTTGCTGTAAAAGAATAAACAAACATCAGCATAACTCCTATCGTTTCAGAATTATGGGACACCCCTGTATATAATCAATTCATAAATTAACATTTAGTAAATTGATATTAATATATTAATATATTATTTAGCAATAAAAGAACTTAATTACCAATAGCTATATGAGCCGACAGGGCAGTTTTATCAATGCTCAAGGACCAAATTCTCAGATTGTGTACTTTAACCACTCCGGGTATTCCAAAAAGTATTTTTTGCACATCCAAGAAATTAATCCCTCTGGGCATTCCTTCCATTAGAACATTTAATGTTTCTTTCATTATGGCAAACGTAGTAGCCAAAACAAGGGCAGAAAACAGGAACGTGCAAATTGGATCAACGATAACGTATTCCGGCTGTGATTAAAAATATCAATCATAATTCCAAACGACGAGTCAGATTAAAAGATTTACAATTGATTTTACCTTAAAATAAATAATTAATGAAGCAATTAACACTCCGATACTCTGAATGAAGTCTCCAAGCACGTGTATGAAAGCAGCTCGAACGTTGATATTGCCATGAGTATGATTTTTATCGTTTTTACCATTATCTCCGTGTGAATGTCCATGAGGAACGCCTCCTACTTGCAAAACGACTCCCATTCTGAAACAGAATTCAAAAATATTTTTTATTTTCTTAATTGGACCAGTTCCGTAGCCAGGAATAAATCATTGAGAGGGATAGAGGAGCAAGCTGAAAAAATTGTGAGTGATATTTTTCTTTTTTCCAGCCTGCACTAGGCCTATTAGCTATACAATTTACATGTAAAAATAAGTAACAATAACCTAAGTTTACGTGATGAAAGCAAAAAATATTTTATATATATTACATATGGGCACTATTGACTACGCTGAGGGGTTTAACTACCTCATAGTTCCTAGTAACCTCGTAAGATTTAAAATTTTACAAACATATAAATCAATAAACTTACATGATATTAACGAAAACACCAACGGCTGCTGTAATAACCATAATTAATCCTTGGATTTCGTAATCTCTATTTATTATTCTCTGTATTGCTAAATATACCAAAACACCGGTCACTACCCAAATCATTAAAACGGAAGTCAACGCTCCAATGACCTCTGGTATGAAAAGATAAAATAAAATTACCAGTAGAAAAGGTAAAATTACAAAACTTCTCAATTCTTACCCGCACGATACCATCCGAAACTCATAGATTTAGTAGCAGGACGTGCAGCAACCCACAGAGCCATAAGACTGATCATGAAACTGGCAAAATCGGTTAACAGATGGGCCGCATCGGTAGCTATGGCTAAACTGTTTGCTAAAAGACCACCTACAATAAAAGAAGCGTACAACATTGATAACGTCTCTGCGAGTTTCGATACGGAATGAAATTACTCACCTACGACTTCAGCTATCATAAAAACTAAACATAAACCACTGGCGAAAAGAAGTCGTCTTCTAGCAAGTTTATCCGATGCATCATCTTCCCTCTGGGGATGACAATGCGACTCGCTCACCTGTTCAAAGACAATAAAATTAAATTTCTCTAAAACTGAATTATAATGTGGACGATGAATTTAGTTATGTAGATTCTCAATGAGAAGAAAACCACAGACATGTCCGCTGGAGGCAAACAGATCATTTGCTCCACTGGATCAAGCCTTCTCACCGAGAGCGAGGAGATTTGGAAGTTGGACATCCGATGCAATTTTTCCAAGGGGGACAAAGAGATATACTTCCACTGTCATAATTATGCTTAAAATTATACTACTTCTGGGCCCTCACATAGAATAGGATAGCGAGAGAGGCAAAGAATAGAAATTTGCGACTCTTTAGAGAAAGGAGTAGCAAATTTTTGCCAAATTTTTTGATATTTGTTTGACAAAACATTTTTTAAATTACATTGCAATTGTTTTAAATCAATGATGTCTTCAAGATACGAGGCGAGCCATTGTTGATGACCAAAACATGTAATGATATGAAGTAAACGAAATAAAGTATCTTTTCAATTTTCAATGTCTTTGTCAATGAATGAATGGAATATGAAAGGCGTCTGCTGCAACTTTTCAAAGGATATAGAGATATAGTCCCTCTATCATATGTTTAAAATTATTCTATCCCTGGGAACTCATATGGAATAGTGATGGTGAGGTCAAGCGAGCGAAGCAAATAATAGAAATTTCCGATACTCCTTAGGGAATTAATTATAAGGTTCCAACTTCGGTTAGAAGACTTAATCCAGTGAGGACAAATGACCAGCTGACGCCTTTAGACACGTCTGTGGTTTTTTCTTCTCATTCAGAATCTCTCTTCTCCAAAATTATTCGCAATAACATCAATTAAATGAAACAATAAAAAAGGGAACAGAAAGAAACAGTTTCAATCACAAATTAAATTAACCACTAAACACTCATCGATTTTAATTGACTTAAATTTATATCATATTTTATTACTTTAGAATAAGTTACGGAGAACATCTGGAAAATTTTTATCGTAGACCTTCATTATCTTAATACACTCACTCCTTGTTTACTTCAAATTTTAACATTTTTATTTTTGAAACTAACGTCATTAATTAAAATCCTTCGTCTAGGAGGGAAAACTCTTTAATCCTATTAAAAGGCCATTAAATTTATAATTTATTACGACGAGTCGCCAAACGTAAATTCATCAAATAATTACTAAAATCGACTTTTAAAATAGGAAAAAAACACTGGAAAAAAGATGAGAATTTCTCATTAAAAAACGTTTATATATTATGTAGCTTATACACTTGATGATGGAAAGATGTCGATGCATCATAAAGATGACCCCGATTAAAAATTCTAAGCATGACTTTGTCTTGTTAGCCTTCAATACAGAGTACATTACGAAATTAAATTTATTAGATTTCATTAAACAGGCCTGTAGTTTATTTACAATTAGAATTTTTATAGTACGTCATCTCACAATCACATGTATAATTAACATAACTAATTACTTAAATTTTTACTTAATTCTGTTAACAAATAAATGATATAGCATTTTTAAGCTATCAACAAAAATATATATATACTCAAACCACTGAATAACGACCACTAATCAAACATAAAAAAGGTCGTTGTTTGGAGGTTATTTAGTATGCATTTCAAAAAGAAACGTTCCTGAAAAAAATGGTCGCCGTTTAGAGGGAACAGTTGTTGGGAGATGGCCGTTATTGAAGGTTCTACTGTATTTCTAACTGAACAACTTGTATGTAAGATCATGTGCTATAGGAAGAGGAAGAACTTGGGTGCATGTAAATTGTTTCAGATAAAACGAACCTTGACATTGGCTCGCTTACTGAGCCGCTTATCATCTAAGTAACGTAGTTTCAGCTATAATTTTTTATTTGATATAAATAGAAATAAAAATAGACCAACGATCGAAAGTCACAGAAATAGACTTACTGTTTATGTATTTTTAATATTAATAAAATTAAGCATGCTACTAATTGTTACACGACCATTCGAATCGATACGAATCAGCGTGTATCTAGGTAGGCTAAAAAGCAGCGAAGTAAGAAGCCAATGACACAGTTTGTTTCATATAAAACAAACTGTGTTATTGGCTTCTTACTTAGCGGCACGCATCTAAAATATTGATCATTGGTGGCGGTACATTTAAAAATATAATATCTGGCGACTGTGTAAGTTTACATTTATCTGGAAAACTGACTGTTGTTTACAATGGATGTCTTATATTGTTTATAAAATAGATTTAGCTCTTGAATAATAGATAGCTTTTTCGGAAAATGGCACAGTTTGTTTTATATGAAATAAACTGTATCATTTAGCTGCTTGTCAACTAGATGCACTCAAAGAATTGTAGTTATTATTATTATGCAGAGATTGAAACGAAATAATACTTACCACACTATCTTGTCTTTCTCTTTTTGGAATTGCAGAATCATTTTCGTAACAGCAATCGTCCGCTATCTTTCCGTGGCAGCAATAGATGAGAGCGTTGTCTTTGGAATGAATAGTTTCATAACGTGACAAACGCGAACTGTCGGTGGTCCTACCAAAATATAAAAAATCGTAGCATCGTAATCAGAAAGCAGCGATCTTTTTAATATTATATTAATAAACGAAATGAAAATCTCGTATTGTCCAGTAAACTACTCACAGAGGTATTTTTTCGTTGTCCATGACACTAGTGAGTCGCTACTACCTCGCCCTACGAAATTCCTATTGAAAAAGAAAGTATCAGTTAATTCCATCAAACATGTGTTCTAAAAACGCCATCTGGAGAACAGAACTGCAAGTGATCTAAGGCAGGATTTGAAACGAGATTAATTAAACTTTGAGCATTATGATTTTGAAAATATGAGAAGATAATATAATTATTAAATATTTTTATCCTTTCATTTAAATTTTGAAATTCTTGTGTAACTATTAATTAAATATAAAGTACGTTGACATCATTCATTACGTAAACACTGTATGTTTTAACATTAGATGGGCGGAAAGTCGAGGCAGTTAAGATTCTAACCTACCTAACCTCAGGGACTCGGGATCGAATCCGGCAAGCAATCCCTCCAGTCCCAAATATTTCGATTCCCGCCTCCCATTGTGGGCCCGGGACACGGAAAAAGACCCTCTTGGTAAAATTATTATTTTATTAAATGCTGATTTTTCTCCAATTAATTTATATATATTTTCTCGGCCTTCCCTTCTTATCTTAACAATCTTTATACTTTTAAATAAACAAACTAATTTTTATAAATAAAAAATAAAAATTCCGTACGCACAGATTGTGAAATGAATAAGAATTACTAATTTAAATTACTCACCTCTTTACGGCCAATCTTTAAGTTTGTCTATTTACATATGACTGGATTTTTACAGATGAATTCGTGAAACAATGGAACCAAAATAATACTATGACGCACTAAAAAAATTCTAAACAAAAATCAATAACAATAAAGTTTAGTCAAATGAATATAAAAGTAAATATTAAGGATAGTTGTTTAATCAATATAATGGTTCAGTGGTAATATTTACTACAAAATATTTTTTTATAATATATTTTTTAAATAGCAAATTACAGGAAAAGGAAATTATTTGTAAAAAAGAATAATAAAAGGAAATAAAATATAGAAAATAATAGGAATTAAATATTCTTGGAAGTTATAAGCTCTTTAACTTACAATGTATAGATTAAATTCGATGCTTTTCAGTTTTTATTCATTTCGAATTAATTAAATTAAATTATCAAACTATCGAGCAATTGTATTAATTTATTATTAATTAATTAGAATGGAGTGTATAAAATAAATTTTAACATTGAAATAAACATGTAAATCATTACAACTCTTAAAGTTACTAACCTGATTGGAATATATTGATTATTTATTAAATTCACATTTGCCTTATTGATCATTTTATGTAAATTTCCTGCCACTTGTCATAAACGGCTGTTTCTACATCTGCCACGTTCCGTACAGCCATAAATGTATGCAGTTGTAGCTTATGAAAATATTGTCGTGAATGACATTTTATATGCATGAATTGAATTATTATTCTTACTACTATTCTCTTATTAAAAAAGGGCTTTTTAGAAAATAAGTACGATATATAATCCGTTTATTTTTATTTAGTTAGTACTGTATTTTCTATAATTACATGTATTTATATATTCATCTGTATAATTGGATAGACGTGGGGGATACTTTTCTTCTAAAGCTTTACGCCAATGGCGCTTGAAGATTAATTAATTTATTCTGTAATCTGTATGAATATAAACTGAGCTGGGCTTAGACTTGTTATAGCCCAATAATATGTAACAGATCCTTCCTCTCCATAAATAATAATAGATATAAAAATATGTGGCCCTAAATTGCAGCTATTTAGCTTATGTGCAAATGCTATCTTGTATACACGTATACATACGTATTTACAAAAAAAAAAAAAAAAAAAAAAAACATTATTGCATATATATAATATACTTTTGTATAATGCATTAATTTCGTACTTAATTTATAATTCTATATTTATGAAGAAAGAAGAAAGTCTGAAGAAAATTTCTTATGGCTTGATGAAATTAAGATAAGGATTTCGCATGATGTAAATATGTTTTTAAGGAATGTACTTTAAACCAACCTTGATTTGATATGTAGATAACAATTCTTTGGACGATCAAAGGTTATATCGTCTATATATTCTATCATATACTTTGTATGAACTACTATAGCACATTCCTGCGATAAATAAGTGTAAAATAGAATTTGTGGATTTATATGTGAAAACTCATGAAGCAGTCTATTGGTGTTCTACTGTTGAACATCTTTTTATTAATCATCGAAGTGGTTCAACTCGTCTTGAAGTCCTTTTGGTATAGTATCGAGTCTCTGTACGAAAACTTTGTGCCACCCACAGTCAAATCAGTCAGGGATGACATCGTATTGATCACAGGAGGAGGACACGGATTGGGAAAAGAATTAGCCCTCAGATTTGCTCGTTTGGGAGCCATTATTGTGCTCTGGGATGTCAATCAGGTTAGTAAACTCCTTTCTTTTTACAAATTACATTTTCCAATATAAAACTATCTGAAGTTTATCTATCTACGATGACCTTAAAACAAACAGTCCGTGCGCAATGTCATCATTGCAGACGACTCGCTACTAATTTATCACTTATTCACATCAAGGATTACTAAATATATATCAATTTATATTTTTATTTTTATACATTATTTAATCCTTAATGATAAAATTTAGCGCCCAAATACGATATAATTCAACATTCACATTTGTGGTAAAATTATCGTTCTATATTTACACATTTTAACGTATATTAATGATTATTTATTACAGTACAGATGTTAAGAAGTTAAAATAAAACCTAAATTTTAAACAATTAGATTTAATCTTACCTTATTGCTAAGTGGGCCGAATGTTAAATGTTTCGATTACTTCTCGTCTATTAAAACAATGATCCTTCAATGTGTGTAAATAGAAGACTGTGTGCAAAGCTTCACACGGCCCACATGGATTTTATCTTTCTTTATCTTATGTTAGATAAACATATCGACTGTTCTAATAGAGTAAGATTATACTCAAAATTTTTATAGATCTCCTATGTTCTTCGATAAGAATAACACAGGTACATGGAGTATACTAATCAAAAATCATTTAGTTTTTTGTAAATGTAATTCATTGGGCTATAGATTGCAATTCTCAGAAAAGCATCTGCTATACTAAATAATATAAGGTATGCGACACCGTAAATGTAAAATAATAATAATATTATTAATATGTATATTTTATATCCCGGAAACAGTATTGTTAATGATCTATAAAACTTTTATGACAGCGAATCAAGAGTCTTTACGTTAGGTAAAAAATGTTCTAGCGACCATCTAAAAATCCAGAAGAAGGGGAAAAAAATTAATATTTCTGTCAGGAGACGCCTATAACAGATTTCTTAACAGCATTTTAAATCTGAGAACTCAATCAATAAATATGCTGCTTGAAAACTGAACGATTCGAAAAGTATGATTATTTTATGGGATTTGGAAAGCATTACTTAGTATTTGATAGCCTTAATTATATAACAATAATTCACACTTTTGAATAAATTGCGATTACGAATAATGTAAAAAGTGTAATTGATAGTCTTATCCATAAACAGCAAAAATAAGATGAGAAAATAAATATATTGCAATTAATTCTATTCAATTATGCTTATCATTTAGTTTATCATAGTTTTCATGTATCAGTGGCCGAGTGATTAAAATCATTGAACAATGGTAGTTGGTCAACGAGCTAGCTTCGTGAAGTTTACCGGACTTTCTTCACGTGTCAAACACCTGAATAGGGGCTAATTTTCCATAGAAAATCTTTCCGAGAGGATTTTCTATAGAAAATGATTAAAAAGTGCATCTTAGTGTCCACGGTGTGGAAAAAAGCTAACTGTAATATAATAATAAGAACATCATACTTCCTACTCATGAACATAACAGCTGCCAAACGGCATTGGCAGATGGCAGCTCTGCCGTCACGGGTTCAGCCAGACCCACAATGGAATGGTCTGGATATGAGGAACAAAGCTCGATGTACAGGCGTTTTTTTCACATGCCCGAAAAATTCCCGGGGTTGCTCATCTGGATTCTATCTCAGATTCCCCTAAGCGTCTTAACTTCCTCGGACCTTCGGCATCATTCAAATGATGCCACTAAATGTAAATAAAAACAACAGGAAAAATATATAAGTCAATAAAAATGTTAGAAACATTTATAAAATGACATTTTATTGCTATTTTTATTAATAAATGTTTCGTTTTCATTTTCCTGTTAATATGCATTAGCACAACGCGAGAAAGACGAAAGGAAACCTCTCGATGTGGGTTCCTGTCCGTGGTGAGAGGACTTCCCAGAGATGGTTTAGTGTCTCTTCTTGACCATCCCTGGAATCCGAACGCCAACGCAGGTGTTTGCCACGCGTGGTGACCTATATAACAGAAATGGGGATCCTGGCAGTTGAGGGACGACACACTATTCCCAACACACTGCTTTGGCTTTTGCTTCGCATAAACGGGAGGCCCAAATCAGGCTCCATTTGAGTCAATCGTCTGATCATTGAGTCATTTCTGACCTCGGCCTGGAGTCAACTGATCGATGCAGACCGTACTTGAAGTTTTGTCATCTCAGACAAAATGTGCTCGTCTTGACTGCATTGTGGTATAGCTCCTGGAAAACCTGGTATGACGATCTATGGGAATCTCCCATGTGACGGCATCCCCTTGTTGGGCTCCATGGTGGGTGGGATCACTGAGAGCTGAATAATTATTTCTTAATCATGGATTCTAAAAACATGAAAGGTCCAGACTTGTTATCAGCAACAAACGAAAAGATTTCCAGTCAGCCAGCCTACATTGCAGTGCACGTAACTAGAGAAAAACCTTTATCTAAGTCTTCTCCTTTTCTGATTCAAAAATTATTTGAATCGACCATTGGGCATCTAAAAAAATAAATACAAAAATTGAGGTCAGGAGATCTGCTGATAGAAACAGCATCCTCTCAACAAATAATGAAGCTTTTTGCTATAAAGATTCTGAGAAACATTAGAGTTAACGTCACACCATATGGAAGTTTAAACTCATCACGTGGTGTAATATCTGAAATTGATTTGCTGTCTGTCTGAAGACGAATCAGATATTCAGATTGGACTCTCTGATCAAGGTGTCAATACTGTTCATCGCATCTCCATTCATCGAAATGGCAAGTTAATACCTACTAAACACCTTATTTTGACATTTAGCAAACCAACATTACCATCTATTGCAGCAGGATATCTGTGCTGCCCAGTTCGTTCGTATATTTCAAATCCGCTGTGCTGTTTCAAATGCCAGTGGTTTGGATATTCTCAAGCATCCTGCCGAGGAAAAAGTGTATGCGCACAGTGTGGGACCGAAGGTCATGAGAGTACTGACAAGTAAGTGTAAAGGTATATGCTGTGTGAATTGCAAAGATGCCCATTCTGCCTACTCCCGGAAATGTCCTACATGGAAACGAAAAAAAAAAATTAACGGGTTAAAACTGTTAACAATTTACCTTACCCGGAGGCTCGTCGTATGATCACTTCAATTGAACCAATACAGAAGACATTTGCTGCTGTTTTGAAATCCACAAAGACATGTGGGGTTCAAACAGATATTTCTGTTTCCTCGAAAGAATCTCTCACTCGCCATGCTAAATGTTTACTGATTCCATCTATACAAGTGTTCAGGCCTCACCAACAGGCTCACGTGGACTTTTCCGTGTTTTATTCACGCATCTAACACCCAAATGAAGCAGTTCCTCATAGAAAGTCCTCCTGGGAAGGCGTTGCCTTATTCAATCCAATTCTTTTATAAATAAAATCTTCGTCTCAAAGTTATCATTAAAAACTGAATATCCTACTCAGCTCTTTAAAATACGTAATGAATCATCAAACACCTGATCCTGAGAAACGTTTATTAAACAAACATTAACGTTTTCGACCTAATATGATAGGCCATCTTCAGATACAACCGAAATTCGAAAGTATTTTAACTTAACATTTAAACGACAGAACGTTCGAACACTTTTACATTTAAATTTAAAATAAAATACTAGATAAATTAATAAATAAATAACAAAATAAAACAAAATATACTAAATGAACTAATACAATAACGATGTAAATAATATAATAAAAATAAAAATGAAATAAATACACAAAAAATGCCTGTAAGTAAAAGGGCAGGTGCGAGCTAAGAATTTTTGTTTTAATTTTTCTTTTATTTAGTTACTAGCTGTTACCCGCGACTTCGCCCGCACAAATATTGCAAGCAAACCCCATTTACATTTAGTATTTCAACAACCTTAGTAATTGTTATATAACACATACCGCTGAGAATGACGAGAATTGCTGCGAATCAAACGAACTATTTTCAATTTGATCAATTTTCTGTAACCTTTACAATCGTTTTATACTCGAATCAATATGCAATAACAAATTCGAATTTAAAACGGTTCGAACATTTATTTAAAAAATCGAAATATATAATATATATATAACAATGTCTGAAATGTTATCAATTTAATAAACCTAAGTACTCAATGAAGACTAAACGTAGTTGAAAACAAAAAATCGCATCTAAAATAGTACAGTAGAAGCCGTTCTTCCGGTTAAGCCTTAATCCTTTCCATCTTCCCCTGCGGGGGAATTCCGAAAAATCCCTTCTTAGTGTACGTTTTCATGACGTAACCTAACTGTGTACCAAATTTCACTTCTTTAGGTTCAGCGGTTTGCTCTGGGCGATGATGAATCAATCACTCAATCAGTCGGGACAAGTAATTTTATATATTTAGATTTCCATGCGGAAGCTAATCCATCCGCATCCCTGGCGTTAATACAACCATTCTTTAATTTACTTTAATAAATTTCGATTTTTTCTTTGGTTGGACTAGCTTCCCCATGGAAATTCTACATAAAAGAAAAATTAAAACACAAAAATTCTTAGCCCGCACCTGCCCTCTTACTTAGAGGCATTTTTTGTGTATTTATTTCATTCTTATTTTTATTATATTATTTACATCGTTATTGTATTAGTTCATTTAGTATATTTTGTTTTATTTTGTTATTTATTTATTAATTTATCTAGTATTTTATTTTAAATTTAAATGTAAAAGTGTTCGAACGTTCTGTCGTTTAAATGTTAAGTTAAAATACTTTCGAATTACGGTTGCATCTGAAGATGTCCTATCGTATTAGGTCGAAAACCTTAATGTTTGCTTAATAAACATTTCTCAGCATCAGGTGTTTGATGATTCTTTAAGTTATCATTAAATCTTTATTTTACTTCTATCAAAAAGCTGCCGTAAAAATCGAAGATAATTTTATGTTGAATTCACTAAATTTAAGAGTTTGCAAAAAATTGCTTTATTGTATTTAACTGTTTTATTTCTGTTTTATCGCGTTATTTATTTATTTTGTTGCTTCTTTGTTGTATGGGGGTTGGCATATATTGTCCTAAAGACATCGCCTGTTATATTGCAAATTAAAAAATGGTAATACAGTATTATTCTGCGTATTTTAGAAGAGATAATTTTTTTGCCGATTTTTAATTTTAAATAAATTTTGTTGTAACCAATTATTATGTTTATCAAATAAAATCAATTTCGATTATAATTTACACGAAATAATACGACCAACTTAATTAACTTAATTTCAATTAATATCGTACACTTTATTTTAAGGTTGGGACCGAAGCTGTAGTTCAAGAAATTAAAGAATTTAACGGAAAAGCCTTCGCATATCACTGTGACGTGAGTAACGAAAAATGTGTAGAAGAAACTAGCGAAAAAGTAAAGAAAGACGTGGGTCAAGTCTCAATATTAATCAACAATGCAGGAATGGTCAATTGCAGAGAATTGCTTCATTTGAGCTGTCAACAAATTAGAAGAACACTGGAAGTAAACACTTTGGCACACTTTTGGGTCAGTTTTAATTACAGTTTTTTTCTAGACCTAAACTTATATATTAGTATAAATCTTATTCTAGCGATAATGAGTATATCAGACTACCAATATCCACCAGTGGCCGATTATCGTGGTCGCGGGTTGACGCCTCACCTGATCTAACAATAGGCCAATTTCTCAGAAAGCCCTCTCGGTAGGCACTCCCTCTTGGCTGATCGCCCATGTGTTGGATTTGAGTTATTCTATCATCCCACTTCCACTCAGATCTTGGCTTCATAAAACGATTTAATTTTTAAGATAGTAGCGCATACAGTATTCAAATTTAAGAAAAATGTTAATACTTATTTATTGTTTTTGCAGACCATTCGAGCATTTTTACCAGAAATGATTAAAAAAGAAAAAGGACACATTGTGGCCATATCCTCTTTGGCCGGTCTTTTAGGAAGTACAAATCTAACTGATTATTGGTAATGTGATTGTTTGATATTTAACAAATTTCATTTTCAAAATTTATTTGTTCTTTATTTGTTGCAGCGCATCGAAATTCGCCGTCAATGGTCTGATGTCGTCTTTAGGAGAAGAACTTTATTATAAGAAAAAGAATATGATTAGTTTAACAACGGTGTGTCCCGCTGTCATTAATACTGGATTTGCTCCTTTACCTCCAGTCAGGTAAATTTATCGATACACACACACTGTATGTAGATATATGTTATTTACATAATAAGGGTATATAGTGTTTTACTTTCCAATCTGCGCGAACTAAGAAGCCTTTTTTTCATACCCATCGTGGGTTTGGCCAGGCCTAGATGGGGTGACGAGGACGACATAACCAGAATACTGCCTGATGAAAAATTACTGAGGAGGGTTGATCGCTCAAAATGAGACCCAAACTCTTATTCTTAGATGATTTTTAATACCTGTTAGTACTTTGCTCAGCCCATTCTTTTAATAAACTGATTAATGCTCCGCGATCCATGGTTTTATCCACTAATATCTTTTTCTTCATAAAATTATTTCTATATTCGTTAAAATACAGTTTTCCTCATACATTCGCATATTATTTCACATATTTTAACATTTTAAAGTGAATCTGGATAATTCGTGTAAACAATTTCTATGGATGATTAATCTAAGATATCAACCAAAGCGAATCGTATGTAAATGTGACTTTAGTAATTTATCAACATGGCAGCGAAACAGTTTTATGGAATGTTCACAAAGCAAGTTTTATTTAGGCTAATTATCGGTCAGAAGATGAGGAGAAAATATCAGCTAATGCCACGGGAGATCCCGCTTGGCTAAACATTTACAATGGATAACGTGTTTGTGTACGTTTTTCCTCATTTGATAAATTTTATTGCAGATTGGGTCCTTGCCAGATTAATTTCGATTGTTTATTTTTGAAATATTTTCTAAATTGTTTAACAAACGAACTACGCCGAAACTTTTTAGACTGAGATTTTATTTGATGACAATCAAAACAAGATTCTTCATATAATTCAATTTCGAGATATTAAAATTGTTAAACTAGTTTAAAGACATTTCCTCTAGACAGAGATTTAAAATTGCCGAAAATAATGATGTATCCTTTATTCGTATGAAAAAGGCATTTATTTAAAAATAGAAATGGTCAAAATGATGAAAATGGAAAGCTAATAATAATTAGTGACGTTCAGGTTTAGCACTAAAAATTCTTCACGTTGCTAATTGATTTAATTTTCAATTTCTAAGATTCACGTGGATAGTAATTTTTATATTAATTAAGAAGGAAGACAATCATTTGAAAGGAATGGTCATGAAATGGGTTCCCACACACACCTTTTAAGCTGGCGGACAAAAGTTACCAAATTAAAAATCAAGTGCTATTTCAGTGTTCAATTTAAAATGATATACAGTAAAACCTGTCTACGGCGACCACCCACGGTTCTTTCAAAAAGTGGTCTTTTAGACAGGTGGTCGTCCAATACAGGTGGTCCTGTAATAATCTATTTCCGTACGTATTTTGCGCACTTTTTAGCCATTTCTACTAACTTGTAAGCAAAACTTGAGGTGAGCAAAAATAAGCGAATTTTTTCAACGATAGGGCTATAATGGTATTGTATTTTATTTTAAAGATTAATACAATAGTCGCATTTTCTCGATTATAATGCACATTTTCTTTTTTCCGACTTAATTAATTCGACTCGGTTCTTTTCGTTCTCTCCTCATTTACGTGTATTACGTCATCGATATACAAGCGCGTCCTATCTCTCCATCACTTTGCTTTTGGTTTTCGTTAGTTTAATCTTATTTTAACTTTAAAAATACTGTATTTTTTAAATATTTAATATTTTCTTAATTAATTAAGTACAATAAGAAAAATTATTAATTAATAATAAAACGATTTTATTATTTTTTCTCACTATACGATTTCATTACAATCGCGGAATCGAAAAAGGAAGTAAAACTGATTTTTGCATTAATGCGTTTATTGTTATTTGAATATTTTGCCTGCGAAAATTACTTGGATATTATTTTTCTAAAAATATCGTGGAAATAAGGTAGGTTGATACAGAAGCTATTTATCGCACGTGTACTGTATATGATCTTCAAAATAAATAAATAAAAATAGATTTTATCAAACGATGAGATCAGCCGATTAATTGTATCGTGTACAATATTTTACACCCCCAAGGAAAATACTGTAGGTCTACGGTAAAATCAATTTCGTTTTCCCACAGTTAAAGTTCGCTGCTAATTGCTGTTGTGATAACTTTAATACGATCTTCTAACGACAGCACTTTGCATTTCTTTCGTTTTTCGGACATTTTCCAACAAACTGAAATGAATTTCTTTTGTTGCTAGACTAATTTATTAACACCTGCACCTAATTTCGAGGGTGGGAGAAGTGCTCGGGATGGGTTCGAACAAGAGTTTAGACTAATTTATTATATTAGGAGGGGGAAACATTGTTGAGATGGGTTCTTACAATAGTTTAGAGCAGATACATTCGCGAAAGTGGTCCGCTTATTACAGGTGTTATATGTTGTTTCGGACCAAAAATCGATGCCCGCGGTCGCGTTACACAGGTGGTCGTTTAATACAGGTAACTTATACGAAGACTCTATGGGTAAACTATTCCGTGCCAGAAATTTTCGCCCGTTTTGACAGGTGCCCGTCGAATGCAGGTGGTCGCGTAAGCAGTTTTCACTGTATTCTGCTAGCTTAAGTAAAGTTAGCAGTCAGTCAAACAAATAAAAGCAAAATAAATAATTAATATTCAACAAATTTTTCATTAAATGCTTCAAAATTTATAATTTTTATACAGAATTAGTGAAATGTAAAACGATTACTCATATTTTATATAGTATTTATTATAGATAGGGGGCAAAAAATCAACGGAACTTGGTTACATTGGGCTGCAATTTTCAAAAATTGTATACATATAAATTTCCACTGGTTTCTGTCTATCTGTCCTTCCTTAATCTCGAGAGAACGGAGTTAGATAGATGAAAGTCGAGACCAGATATGGAAAGCTTAGGGTCAGGTGGCCCCAATTAACTAAATTATTTCAATTCAAAAATTTTATTCTGAACGGAGTTGGATAGATGACTGGCATGACTTCATTGTTAGCAGGAAAAGTATGATGTACAGGACAAGACACTACTAAAATTGAGAGCACTGTGACTATGTCACAATAGATAATTGCTCGTTTCATATAAAATTATACGAAATGTATTTTAATAAATTGTTACATAGTTTGTTTTTCAATTGTTAGTTGTCATTTATCCCACTAATAATATAAAAGCCATCATTTGTGTGTGACTGAGTTCCCTATTCACAGGTTTCCACAGAAGGTTTATGTATTTTACCATTGGAATATCCAGCTATATTTGAATATCTTATTAAAAGTAAAGCGATGATTACCGAGAAATGCTTAATTGTGAGTCTTGACTCTTATAATTATTTTTAAGTGGTAAAGTAAGTTTTATAAGACATATTGCCAATGAAAAACGAAAAATTGCAACCTGCACTAACAACTAGTAGTATATTAATGGCTGCCAAGACATTCGCCCTGGTGTGGCAGAATTCAAAAACACGTTCTGGAAACTTGTGGATAATTCCTGTTATTTTTCTCCAATCAAAGTGAAATTCTGGTTATATTCTTTACATTCCAACGGAAAGAGTAGGATATTTAATTTGAGGAAATATTATTAGCTACACAAAAGGTTTTATCGATTCCGGCTCCGTGTCAGTGATGTCATTTACCTAAAGTTGAAGTTTTAAATATTTTGACAAATGACGTAATTTTAAATTTATTTTATTAATTTTTAAAAAAATAGTCACATCGTGTCGCTTCTACAATTAAAAAATAATTTTCCGTAGTGACCACGTGATGTTCTTTTATTCGCTTCCAAAGGTCAGTTTTTACCATACATACCATACCAGTATACTCCCTATTGTCCATGCTCCACTTCAGTCAAATGTGAGCGATAGCGAGCCCTGCCGATGCTCCGTATGTATCTTCAGAAGGGTCACATGTAGAGATATGGTTCCTTTGATTTTTTGCTCCTATGGGTATGGTCTACAGCTCTGATAAGGCCTCAACTGTCTCATTCACAGGTGTAATTGTATCTGTAAGCTTCCGTAGATAGCGGCGCTTCTTGAAATCTATACTCTTCTCAATTCTTCAATCCGTACTTAGAAAGTAAGGCCCACCAGTAGCCAAGCGGCGGGAGTTCGGTCCTGGGTTCGCACCTCGCTAGGTCGGACTGGCCACGTGGTCTTCCGGGTTTTCTCCACGTCTGTAATATCTGAATAGGGACCAGTTATCCTAAAAACGACCTCCCGGAAGGCATCACCCTTAGGCAGATCGCCCAAGTGTTGCGTTGCCGTAACTTAACAAAACAAACAACAAACATCTTAGAAAGTAGTCCATCATTAGTTCTTTTTTACCTCTATGTCCTTACACTTATAAATTTCCGCCTGTATGCTTATCTACTTGGACCTTGCTTATTAATATGATTTATTATACGGGTGTAGTTTCCGATTAGCAAATAGAGATTTTAAGTCAAAAGTCAAAACAAAATATCTATTTTCACCTCTACACTCTGTGTTTCAGACCTGAAGGCCCCTCTACAGCAGATTTACAATATTCTATAATTTCTTTACTTTTGTACTTTTTAAAATTAATATTAGACTTCAGAATAAGGTTATTTAATTTATGTTTCTGTAGTCTTGCTTGTATTGTAAACTGCTGAAGAGGGCCTTCAGGTCCAAAACAGTGTGTGCAGGTGAAAATAAAGATATTTTGTTTTGACTAACTTGCAAGATCTTTATTTGCTAATCGAAAACTATACCAAAATAATAAGTCCTATTGATAAACAAGGTCCAAGTAGACAAGGATACACAGAAATTTATAGTAGTCAGTCATACTTGATGGGGAAATTTCTAGTTCTAAAAAAATTGATTGTAAAGAAAGCGTCAGGTAAGAAAACTAATGCTGATTGGTTATCTCCACGTATTCAGACCCCTGAATACAAGTAAAAAAAAAATTCGGAATTTTTTTTTTACTTGTGTATGTATGTGCGTGCGCGCGCGCGCATGTTGGGGTCTATTTCGCTTAATATCTCAGGATGGAGTGAAGATAAAGAAACGAAATTTGAAATAGTAGCTTGTATAAAAGGGATATTGATGCTATTTTATAATAAAATCTCATAACAGATGGGGTCACATACAATTTTAGTTAGGCCTATTTATTTTGATTAATAATACAAATGTTATTTTTTAAATAAAATCTCATAAAAGTCAGAAATTGCCATTTTTTAGAATAGATATTCGAAAGATGTTTAAAAATGAGGTTACTTCAAGTGAAACTTCATCATTTGGTGATATTTCATTTCAAGATGAAACGTCAATATTGGTAAAACAATATGGATATTACTATAGAAGTCAAAATAACGAACAATTATTTATTGCGAGATCGTCACAATGCCGGGCTGCAATTTTTAATCATATTTTTAATTTATTTAATATAAAATATATGCTCTCCACCTCAAATTAGTAGCGGCTTGCCCCTGTACATCATACTTTTTCTTTAACAATAAAGTCGTGCTGGCCATCTAACTCCTTTCAGGGGAAAAGTTTTGAACTGAAATAACGTAATTTCCAGTTTGTATCGAAGTTCCTGTATTGTTAATCGGAGCTTCTTGCCCCCAAGCTTTCTATATCTGGTCTTGACTTTCATCTATCTAATTCCGTTCTTGAGATTAATTAAGGAAAGACAGTGGGAATTTATAGGTCTACAATTTTTTCAAATTGAAGCCCAATGACTTATTTCAACCAATATTTTTTACAATAAAACTGACAACAAACGTTACAAATTTAATAACAGTTGGAATGATATTGAAACTGAAATCCAAAACATCTAATTGCTAATTTACCTTTAATCCTAATTACAAGCTTGTTGTGTAATTAATAAAACCTTTATTATAAATCAAAATGGATACCTGCAATTGCAGGAATATTTCATACAATTTGTTTAGACATATTTATCATTTACAGATTTTCCAGTTTGTTGCCAGTATTAAATGTAACAGAAGTTGCTGATAAAGTAGTAGATGGAATTTTACGAAACCGTAGATTAATTGTGTTACCTGGATGGTTAGACTTCTGGACACGTTTAATGAGGTGACTCATAGTTGCTTAAATGTGTTTATTTAAAAAAAAATGATACAATATGAATTTGTTTCGTTGACAAGAAGAAAATTTTTTTTTACTTTAGATTATTTCCCTGGAAAGCACTACAGCTGTTTGGAGTGTCTTTAAACTACAGAATAGAACCAGTTCGTCAATCAAAAACTAAGGTTTGGAAGATACAGGCTAAAAACAATCATCCTCCAAGAATATCTTAAGAGAGATTTTCTGTGAATGCTAAATACAGCAGTTTAAATAATTATTTAATTTTTTTTTGAATTATTAATATTTGATTATTCTTTGATATTATATTATATTTGACATTCTTTGATATTCATTAACTGTCAACAAATTTTTAAAATAAAAAAATCTTGAGAAAGTATTAATCTAAACTCATTTCTTCATCATCATCTTTATCATTTTTCTTTTTCTCTCCAGCTTGCTTTTTCTCATTAGCTTTTTGTAAGGCTTTCACAAAACCTTCTAAATCTATTTAAAAAAAAAAAAAACAAAAAACAAAAAAATTAATGTGTGCTAAGCCATGCACATAAAAATTATTAATATGCTAATTTTCATTATGTACAGAAGAGAGTGGAAACACAAACATTACAACATGCTAAAACATAATTGTGAAATGTTTACATACTTTAATATCTACTTAATTTCATATTATTAATATTCCAAATCATTTACTGTTTTCCAAAATTTACCACATACATGTAACCCCCGTATAACATGCTTTTATAACACGGATTCACTCTAACACGGTTCGAGAATTGGGTAAAACCCTTGTACAACATGAAATGTAATAAATTTTCACACACTTGAGTATTAATAGTTCACAAAAATTATTATTTTCCTGAACTATTAGTACTTAAGTATGTAAATTTTCTTTTCCGCCTTCTGTCGATACACGTAATCCTTCTCAAAACTTCTTACAGTGTTGCCAGATCGCATCGCTTCTGATTTTGTGTTGCCAGATGTTTTCCCTTATTCCATACTTGCTTATTCTTCATAAGTGCTTAGCACCATATAAGGAATTTTATAAAGATCTTTTAACTAAAAGCAAGCAATCTGAAATAACATATTTTTTGCAAAAGGTAGAGCATGGATCTGAAGATAATGCAGAAAGATGCTCAGAGGATAAGGATATCTTGCCAAAAAGAAAACATCCTTGGTTAATAGTGCTTAGTGATGACGAAGAAAACATTGTTTAATTTATGTTAATATGTATCGCTTAAGAAAATTTTAATAAAGATATTTATCTTAATTATGAAAATATAATAGCATGTCTTTTAATTTTTGGAACATAAACCCCCTTTTCATACTAGTTCTTTGTTTCGTATAAGATGGCAATTTTTTGGAACATAACTCCCATGTTATACGGGGTTACCTGTACTTTTAATTCTAAATCTGAATTCACTGTACTAATGTAAATTTTATATTCTGACAGAATATAAAATTTAATTTAATTTAATTTAATGTAATGAGCCAATCAAAGAAGTCCATTAGGAAAGGCAACAGGCTGTAAAAATTCAAGCCAAATCTTTATTGATAGAAACAGACTACAGGGTCAGCCAAGGAGACCCAAGCATAGACAGTTAACGATAAAGTGGCATACTGTGGCATTGAGGAATCTGTGGCAATAGACAGACACAAGAGCAGATAGACTAGATCAGGGGTGTCCAACCTTTTTGTTTCTCTGGGCCACATTGGAAGAAGTCAAAGAGTTTTGGGCCACAAGTATATATAATATATACTTGTGGCCCAATATACAAGTATATTTAAGGATTAACATGTCTAGATTATAATAATAAGTATTAAAACTTTATCACGAAAAAGGATATTTTAAAAAATTACTTCTACAGACACTTTCAATTTTTACTTAGAAATAGATAAATTCATTTATTTGATAAAACGCAAATATTTGGTTTATTTGAGTCTCTGATTAATAAAAAGCGACGAAACACCATTTTAAAGTGCATTTTTATTCAACTAATATATTTATAAATGATATGTAGCCCCAAAAGTAGCCAAAGCGCCAAATGATATTTTTTTACGTTAAACTAAAAAAAGTAGCCACATTTGGCGCAATGTAGCCAAATCTTGCAACGCTGGAAGGAATACTAAATAAAGCTGGAGTTTTGACTCAAAGGATTATAGAGCCAAATTCGGAAAAAGAAGAGAAAGGACAAAAGATAAAGAAGTGAGAAAGGTTGGAAAATTAAGACTCAATATTTGCCTAACAGAAGAACTATTTAATCTTTCTGACAACTTTTTATCTTTTGTCCTTTCTCTCCTTTCACCAAATTTGGATCTATAATCCTTTGAGTCACAACTGCAGCTTTATTTAGTAATCCTTCCTCATTCACACATCTCCAAGTACATGAAAATATTTCATTTCCACTCAAAACTGAAATATAAATATGGCTTTGTGAAATTAATTTTCTGAGTTTATGCCGTTGAAATAAATAAATAATAAAAAATTAAAACATTTGTCGGTTTTGTTTGCACATTTATTGGGCCGCATTGGAACTTGCCTTGGGCCGCATGCGGCCCGCGGGCCGCGGGTTGGACACCCCTGGACTAGATACAGTAAACAGGAGAGATTTATCAATTTCCTTGTTATGAAATTATTTTTAAAACTGCTAAGTATTTACTTTAAAATTGAAATATGGACTTTTTGTATAAAACATTCATGTAAAATTAAACATCACCAAAACAATCAATAGTCTTATCTTGATTGAATCAGATAATATAAGGAATAGCAAATGGTCAATGCAGCAATGAAAATCAGTACATGTAGAGCAGTAAATCTCCATTTACCTTTATACAATCAGACAATGATGTGTATTTGTATTTGATGTATGGCAAAAAAATTGAGTCAAGAATGAAATATAGAATGTAGATGTCTACTATGACAATGGTGGCAAAACTTTTGAAACAGCATGGCAAAATAATTTTACAAATTTACAAATACAAATTTAATTTTAAAAAGTTGGTGCATATTCAAGCTGCAAAAGCCTAAAACTATTTTTACAAAAATTATATTAGAGGAAAAAAAATTCTATTGCTTTTATTGTAAATGTTGAAATATGAAGAGTTAAAAATAATTAAATTAAACCATAAAGGCTATTGCAAGCTAGCAAATCTTTACTGTATGCTAATTCTGGAGAACACCTACTGTTCACCACTCCTATTTATTCTTTTACATACAGACTGTCTGAAAAGTATTATGCAATAGAAAAAGTTTTAAATATGATATTACAGTTTGTCCTATAGCAAATACTGGAAATGTCCCAAAAGCCCCAAAATCAGTAAGTGAGTGAGGTCCAGAGACATAGCAAGCCATATTCCACAGGAGATTACGCAACCAGAATGTCTGTGAGCAAGCAGTAACACATCTATTATAAAGTGAAAACATGGGATTTACAACTTATAGGTCTCATATGCAATGTTGTATGTATAATGTTGTTACAAACTTCTCTCTGTACAGTACATTAACTTTTTGGATACACTATCAACAAATCATAACTGTCTGATATAAGCTCTTGTTTTAAAAATTTCTTTGTCATGGCACAATGCATATATTATCAATAATTCATGGTGATATAAAAGTTAAAATAGATAACAAAATCCCAATATGAACACTGCTTATACATTTATAACCAACAAATTTTAATTAAGGATCAACACCAAAACAATTCTTCAAAATAATTGATAAATTGGAACTATACAAATTTTTTAAAATAAAACCTTGTACAGATGGCATTGCTGGATTTTTATATACTGCTATCCAGAGAAAATACAACACCAAGAAAGAGTTATCAGATATACCTGATATTTGGCATATGGGTTATTTATCATGAGATATCTGAATTTTTATTCATTTACATATACAGTGAAACTTCACTTAACAAACAATGTTTTGCATAATGAGTGAAGAGGAGAGGGGAAGTCTTGGATTGTGTGCATGCTCCATCAGTCTGTGTTTAGCACTCGTTACACTAGCATCTTAGTGTCGCTTGTGATCACACATATTACGTATAAACATCAACAACCATAGCCCATTATATAATAAACACACCAAATGATATGCCAAATTCTTGGGCTATGTAAAGCTATAACTAATTATTATAAATTAATTAATTTGACTAGAGGTAGGCAGTTATGCTGCTATCTTGTATTAAATTTAATGACCAATTCCAAATTAAATTCCAGAAATGTCTAAATTAAAATTAATTATTNATACAAATTTTTTAAAATAAAACAGTGCTGGTAAATATTTATAATTAAAAAAAAATTTGAAATTTACAACAATTACCTAATCATCAAAAAGTAAAAATTTGAAATATTCTAACATTAAATATGATATGATCAGTGTAATATTTGGAATAATAATAATAATAATGTGCATTGACATTAGATATAACAAACTAAGAATATATGTAATCTCACCTCCTGAATTAGCAGCATCAACAACTTCTTGTGCCATTCCAAACTGTTGCATTAATGGTCCTAGTTGACCAGACTGTAAAGCTGCACTAAACATGCTGAGTGCCTGTTGAAACTGAGGAGACTGAATGGTTGAACGTAACGTCTCACCAACAACTGAACTTTCTTGTCCAGCTGAAGATTCTAACGGAGTGGGCAGTAAACTTCTTAAGCGTTCCATTAATTCCTGGTTTTCAAACAAAGGTTGTAATGTTTCTGCAGTTAAAGCTGATGAGAGATCTACTAAACAAAACAAATCAAATAAATACTATAATTTATATAATGATTCTTATGTATAAAATTAATGAATGTTGTAATTATATATCTATTGTAATTCATAATATAAAGTTAAATAGAAAAAGTCCAAGACCAACCCTACAGTTATCACTTTTGATACAATGAAACCAGTAAAAAAACTTTAAAATTTTTGATTTTAACATCTCAGAAATCAAGGAAATAGCTATTTTGCTTAGCAAATTAAAAAAAACTGTCAGTTAGCAAAATGGTAATATAAAAACTGAAAAATAGAATATTCGTTAACAAATTTGTTAAAGTATGGTACCAAGAAATATAATACTGTTTTTAGTTTAATTAAATTTATACTTTTTCTGTCTGATCATCGTTAGTTTGAGTCTAAATTATTAATAATAATAGCCAAATACTAGCTGGATTAATTAGGCAATAAATACATAACAATACCAAATGGTTTAAATATATTTGCTACTAATTATGCCTAATTTAAAACTTGTGTCAATATGGTAACATTGCCAATCAATTAATAAATTTGTTTAAAGCATTTGGAATCATTATATATTTACTGCCTGATTAATCAAACTAGTATTTGGATATAATTTTTGTGTTATTATGTTATTAGCAAACAATTTGTTGTAAAAAATATCTTCATACAAGCAAATTCTATGATCATTATTGTAATAAGAAGTTCTTCTAAGAATTTTAAACACAATTATCTTCAACTCCTGAAGATATAGTTGATGGAAACAATTATGAGTGTTTCAACACAATTACAATGAAAGTTGCAGATGGCAATGGGGAAAAGTACATATCACTCTATTGGAAAATTAAAAAATGAATCCACCTGTTCTTATACCAAAAGAAATGTGGTCCAGTGTGACAATTACATTAAAGCAAATTAATTAAATTTTAATAATTCAAACTATTACATTCAAGATCCTGACATATCAAAAATAGCTGAGAAAAACAGAGAATGTGAAGTCAGTGGAAAAAAAAGAAAGAATTGAATTCAAAACCATGAAGTGTTGATAATTGCAGCAAAAATTTTTCAGAGGATATAAGGATGCCAATTTGCAAGAATTTTTGGAAAATTGATTACAAGATGCAAGAAGAATTTCTTCTTGGTACCACTGAAAGTGTATCGTATAGAGTGTATACTGATGGTTCTGAAAAGCTGCAGAACAATTCTAAAATTTTCAACTTGAATACTAGTTCAAATGAATTAAGAGTATGCAAGAATTTTTCACTACAATTTTATGCATTTCTGCAGCTATGATCAACACTGTTTCTAAATATAAAGAAGGGAAATCTTTGTTGAAGCAAATAATAGAAGTTATACATAAGACTGAACCCAAAAGTTTGAAGAAAGTTAAAAATCATATAGAAATATTTCTGACAATGGAATTGCATTACTCCTGAAATGACACCAGATGACAAAAACATTTATCTTGAACCTCATCTAAGCCTCACCAAAATGTATAACTTAAATAAAGAATAATGCTTAAATGATAATTGCAAACCTGCTAGTATGATAACATACAGAAGAGTGTTTTGTAATGACTACAATTTATCATTTTATGAACTGAAAGTGTCAACTTTATGCACAATACAATCTTACTAAAGATGTTAATCAAAAACAGTCATTTGAGTGGAATATACAATGTATATTCAACAGAAGATAAAATGCAACCATGCTAAATTTATAGACAAAGAACTTTGTTAAATTTGCCAAAAGAATACTGCCTAATTTTTGACTTGGAATTATCATTCATTATATGTAAAGCTTCATTGATTAATAACTTTCTGCATGAGGCCACTCTACAAAACATCAAAATATTGAACAATGCACACCACTTACAAGGAAACTGTCGGAGTGTCTTCTAATAAATTTTAATAAAATTTAGTTATTAACTACGTTAAAAGTATACAAACTCTATTTTAAATTTGTAGCATTCACTAAAAGTGTTGATCAGAGTTATTAGCAATCAAATGTTGCACTACTTTATAGTAGTTTAGCACAATTACGTAAATTTTTAGAAGTGAAAGGGCCGCGGAGGAAGACGGCAATATTACATTTAGAATAAATTTTCTAATCTTCTAATTTTCTAAAAATCTGGAATTTTCAAAAATGGTTGAAGAATTAATAAAATTTTGTATACTTTTAACATAGTTATTAACTAAATTTTATTAAAATTTATTAGAAGACACTCCGACAGTTCCCTTGTTAGTGGTGGAAGTGATAGTTTTTTCCCATCCAATGTACTTTCTACATTGCCCATAGAGGAGATTAAGCCACCCAGCTCGATAGAACAACATATAAAACTGTAAGAAAGTCAGAGTCATCTTTTGTCCTCTACAGGATAAAGGATGACTTGCTGAGCCAGTTTTCTCTAAAGAAAACTGGCTCAACAAGTAAGACTCCATAGATCAGAAAGTTTTAACATACGATAATCATTACTAACATAATTAGTTAATATTTTATTATTCGTGAAATGCAATATACATTCAATATCACAAGTAAGACAATGTGCAATTTCAAATCACAACAGATTTAACAGAACTTTTTTGGATCTTTAAATATTTTTAAAATAATTTAAAATACTTTTAAAAATATTATAAGTACAATATTACTAATTTTTAACTTACTTGAAGTATGAACACTTCCTTCTTTTGAAGTTGGAACTAAAAAATAGTGAATAAAATTAAAATTATGTAAATAAATTACAAAATTAATTACCAGAATTAAGAATTATATTGTGGTTATATGCTAAAAAAATATTAATGAACAACTATTTAGTGTACAAGTTAAGAATTTATTAATTCATATGCATTTGCTATTTCAACTCAATAATAACCTACATATTACATACTTCTATCTGAATCAAAACAAAACAACATTACCATATCATTTTATTAAATATTGATGATCAAGAAATTAACCATCCTAATATTGTCTAATAATAAAATTAACCATTGCTAAAAAAATAATATACAGTCAAATTTTGGTACAGCAATTATTAATATTATAATAAATCCCTCTATAACAATAAGAAATGAAGTTCTCTATGCAATTTGTATTAGCTTAATATAAAATTTCTTCCAGTTGAATTATATCCTTTAACAATAATGCAGTAAATTTAATTTTAATTAATCACTGGTTTCTGGAATCAAATTATGATACTTTCTTAATACAGCAATTCTAGATAAACATTACTTGCTGTCATTAGGCATTAGTGCAGATAGCAGAAATATGCTAAGTCTAATTTTTTTTATTAACAATACTATGATGATTATATATATATTTCTGTTATAACATTTTCTAACTGAAAAAACAATGTTACAACAACCATATGTATAGTCAGACAAAGTAAAATGAGGAAGGGGTACTTTTTTAAAAATTCTCACTATAACAATCAATCTCTGTACAACAATATTTTTTTGTTCTGCTAAATATAACTATAGAGGGATCTGACTAATTTAAAAATGGTAAAAATATAATTACAAGAGAAATTTATAAATCATTTTAAATATAAAAAATTTACCATTTAATCCGGATAAAATATTCTGAAGATCACTCAACTGGATATGTGATGGATTTGATTCAGTCGTTGCAGTTGAAGGAGCAGAGGTAGTTACTGAGGTAGCTGTATTTGATGAAACAGTCGTTACAGTTACAGATGGTGTAGTTGAAACTGTTGTTTCTGGTGCTGATCTATATATATATATATATATATATTATATAATAGTTTATATATGTCTAAACTTTTGTGTAATTCAATTCTGCATATTTAAATTTATGGTTAATCTTTAATTCTCCTTTTCTAAAATAATAGTAACATTCACTTTTTAATTAGATTTAATTAGTTTTAATTTCTTCTTATACTATAAATATAGCTTTATAAAAACTCAGATTGTTAATTTCCAACTTAAGAACACAATATCTCTGATAATTAACAGTAATTCTTTTTATAAACTACAAAACATTATTCATGTTAAAATTTAAAAATAAGTAATAGTTTACTACTTACTCTGTAGTAGAAATATTTGACTGACTACTTGTGGGTCTGCTTCCACCAAGAAGTTCATTAAAATTAGGCATGCCTCCTACACCACCAACACTGCCTAAACATTGATATAAATAAAATGTGTTAAATTTAGATTATAATTCTCTTCATGATTTGGTATTTGTTATTAATATAAATTTACCCAATAATTGCATAAGCTGTTGTTGACTCATATTATTCAGTAAATTTTGAATATCATTTTGAGTCAAATTGTTGATTTCTGACTGTAATGAGCTACTTTGAGACGAGCCTCCCGAACCAAGACTATTGCCACCGTTACGGTTTGAGCCAAGAGGTGGTGGATTATTCAAATATTCATTGACTTTACTGCAGTATTCATCATCTTTATCTGTTTTAGGCTCCTAAAATAATATATTTCAAATATTACAAAAAGAATAAAGTTAAATAAAATATTCTTATACTAAAAGAAAATGCTTATTAACAAACTTCTTATCTAACATAAATGAACTCCTTAAGTAAATAAAAGACAAACACAAAAATGGTTAAAGCATAAAAAACCAGACAGTTTATTCAAGAACAAATTTTTTTAAATTGGTTTATTCCATCAATAAAATCCTCAATAAAAATCAAACAACAACAATAAAATAAAATTATTATTATTCAATTTCATCATTCTTGTTGAATATACAGGTTTGTTTCCATCTATACAAATGGGTAACCATGTCAAGTGATCAAGGTCTCCAGGTCAACTCCCTCAGAATTCAATTAAATTTGACACAAAGGTAACTAAGGATCTTACACTAAGTCATACAAAATATTAGTTCCATATGTCACATGATTTCTGAGACATGTCAAAATGTGAAGACATTCACAAGCCACCTCTGTATGATCAAACAACCAAAAAAATCGATCTGCAGAAATGAGCTCTTTGAAGGAGCAGCATTGTTCTGTGAAATTCTGTGTGAAACTCGGGAAATCCTTCACGGAAACGTTTGAGTTGATTACTAAGGCTTATGGCAAGGATGCTATGAAACGTACTGTGTGTTATGAGTGGTTTACCTGGTTCAAAAAGAGACGGCAATCAGTGGAAGACGATGAGCATTCCAGACGACCATCAATGTTGACTGATGACCCAACATCAAGAAAGTGTATGATCTCGTTCATGCAAATTAACATTTGGCTGTCAGGGAACTTGCAGAAGAGTGTGGCATCTTGATTGGTTTGTGCTATGAAATCCTGACTGAAAAATTGAGGATGCATCGAGTTGCCTCCAAATTTGTGCCTCGCTGATGACAGCAGACCAGAAACAACATTGACTTCAAGTCTGTCAGGAACTGTTTGATTGAGATGAGAAGGATGAAACCTTGTCCAGGACCATAACATGAGATGAGTCACGGGTTTATGGATATGATATTGAAACAAAAATGCAATTTTCACAATGGGTGGGTGAAACATCCCCCGACTTAAAAAAGCTTGACAAGTTCACTCAAATGTTAAGGTTATGTTGACCGTTTTTTTCGATGCAAAGGGGTTGTGCATTACAAATGCCTAACTACAGGCCAGACAGACAACACAAAGTACTATCTGGGGTTATGAAACGCCTAAGAGACAGAATCAGGCAAAAACAGCCCAAACTTTAAGGGAGTGGCAAGTGGTTTTTTTCACCATGACAACCTGGCTCATTCGTCTCTCAGAACTCGTGCATTTTTGGCCAAAAACAAGACCGCTGTGCTTCCTCACCCATCCCACTCATCTGACCTGGCCCCATGCAACTTTTTCCTGTTTCCCAAACTAAAAACACCCACTCAAAGGAAAAATATTTATCACCATTCCAGAGACAGAGAAAAATTTGATGGAGGAGCTTATGAGAATTCTGGAAGAAGCATTCCAGGACTGTTTCAAAAAGTGGAAACACCGTTGGGATAAGTGTAGGAGACTACTTTGAAGGGGACCCTAACCAATAAATTGTAAGTGAAGTATTTTTTTTTGTAATAAATAATGTTTGAAAACTTTTTAACAGACCTTGTACATGGTATCTTCCTTAATTTATTATTTAAGATTAATTTATAAATTGAACACTTATTCACAAATACAGTGGAACCTCGGTATACGACCTTAATCCATTCTCGATGTTTGGACTTATACCGAATTGGACGTATACCAAACCAACCTTTCCCATAAGAAGTAATGTAAAAATGATTAATCCGTTCTTGTGTAAAAAAAATGGCTGGTTTTAAACACCTCGCTTTCCTGGCTAGTTCCTGCTTGATTTTTCGTGAGATCAGCATGTATCTTTTTAGTTTTCTCGCAAATAATTGCTTCCAATACGCTGTCTCCAGCACTGTTTTTCAGTTATCCAAAGCAAAAGCAATTTCTCGACATGATCTAATGTCTTCGATCTCTGTTTAGAAATTGATTTAACCCCTTTTGCAATGTTAGCAGATTTAATAATGTCTTTATTTTTTGCGATTGTCCATATCGTCATTCTCGGAATACGGTAAACAACAGTTAAAATCTCGAACACGCGTGCCACCTTCGTATTTCTCAACAATCTCTTTCATCAGTTCTATTGTAATTCTAGTCATTTTTTTAGTTTTCTGTCGCTTTTCATTTGCCTTTTTGGGATTCATGATTAAATAAAATTAATAAAATTTTACTTAAGAATTAAAATCAGAAGAAATTAAAGTTATAAACCGTTGCACCACGAACGTCTAGTCTGGTCTAGTACACCGATAGTGCTACTTGTTCATTGATGGCACGTATAATTGAATTATGTCATATACCGAACAAAAGTTGTATACTGAACAAAATTTGTTTCGTCCAAACAGGATGTATTCCGAATTGGACNAAAGAATGAAATCAATTTTAATCATATATTTGTATTATCATACATTGCAAAATATATTACAGAGTAAATTTTTATTTAATTTTATGTTTCAGGGAGGGTAACGATTTGTGCATTTGGAGCTAGAACATCTTTTAATTTTATGTTGTATAAATAATTAACAACTATTTATTTATTTACTTTCTGTTTCATTTTACTACACCATATTGTAACAGAGTTGTTATTGATTATTTACAGTTTAATTATTCTTGTATATTATAAACAATGAATAACAAATCTCTTTTGAAAGTTTTCAAAATAAGCATATTTAACATCAAACGATACTTGTCAAAGTTTTCTAATAAAACAAAGTGCTTAAAAAGTAAGCTTAAATTAATGTTAAATAAATTTAAAAAAAGAGAAAAAATCCAAAGGTTATAAAATAAGCATATTTAACATCAAACGATACTTGTCAAAGTTTTCTAATAAAACAAAGTGCTTAAAAAGTATTTATAAATTAATGTTAAATAAATAATAAAATAAGGAAGATACCATATGTGATAAGCCTTAAATGAATTTATGCAAAGATAATATCATAATGTAAAAACCTAAAGCACAAAAAAGGAGGACAAATTGTATTAAACAAAACAAGTAAAACAGCAAAACCGTATTTGGGACAAAACTGTTTCAGAGACTCACTACTAAGTGGAATCACTTTGATGCTCAAGGCAGGTCTCGTTCATATTCTCCAATCTTCTTTGGTATCTCTGCTTTTGGGTGCGATTGTTCAAACTTTGCCGGCCACAACCACAAGGTCATCCACGATGCGTTTTCGATGAAATTAACCTATCCAATTTCAAAAATTTTTCTCTGTTACGTGTCGGCGTAGGTTGAATTTTTGTCAATGCATAACAAAAATTTCCCATTTTCGAAAAAAATAATCATGGCTATTGTATCGTCCAAAATTATTTTTTTATTTTGCCCAAACAATATAAAGTTTAACCTGATTATAACATCATCGGATGTAACGACAACCCTAATATAACATCAAATTTTTTTTGGTCCCATGATTTTACTATACTAGATAATGTTAAAAAAAACCCACTTGTAACAACATAAAACCGTTTTAACATCATATTTGAAGCACTTCCAAATTTACAAAATTAGATCACAAATTTTATTTAACATAGAAGAAACTGTATGTTCAGTCCTAAGGTTAGAGTTCACTTCTTTGAATGACTGTGGATGGTACTCTTCCCCACCTGACTTCAGTGGGGTGAGGTGACTGTTTTGCCTGTTTGTAGAAGAGGGTCACCATTTTGTATTTTATTTTGACTTGGTTCTGGGTCCCCTGACTAAATACAAGTCTGGATTTTTTCATGCGCAAATGATATGGGCACCTAATACTCTGTGGCAAATATCAACTCTCAACATGTACTCCTTCATAGCTCTATGCTGGTAACATAAAAAGCAGTATGATTTTATAAACAAGACATAGTCTTGTCAATAATTGTAAAGTATTGCAGTATTAGGCCGCGATTCCACTAGCCTAAAAATGGGCGTAAAAACCCTCACTGTAAAAACTTTTAATCACATGACCTATTTGCATTTGCGCTTGGATTGCAGTGGAGGTCCTGCTAGTGAAGTTTTTACAGCAACGATGCTGTCAAAGTTTTACGCCTGTACGGTTGTATACATAATATATTGATACAAAGACAATGATTATATTCTACAAGTTTTTTCTGTACTATAATTATAAATGTAGTAAAAATAATATCTTTACTTTCATATATTAACTTTTATTGTCGTATTATTAAGATAATATACAGCACTTGTAAGCTTAGCTTTTTTATTATATACTCCTTTAAATTTAAGGATTTTCCTTTGGCTGTCCATATTGTGTGTTTTAGGAATCCATTATAATCGAGATACCTCTTGTCGTAGATACACAAATACTTTTGGATGTTTTCGATAAATCTTTCCATATCTATTCTAGAGTAGCCACGAGGGAACTTACACAAAAGCTTGTTTTCCACCATTTTCACACCATGTCACAACGACCTAGATTTCACCGAATTCTGATTGTTGGATGGTACCGTTTTACAGCCGTATTTGCGTCAAAAGTTGAACACTGCTTAATCGCTTTTACTCTGGTTTCACAACCTGCTTGGACGTAAAATATCATGGTCAAGTGATTAAAAGCTTTTACAGCGAGGTGTTTTACGCCCATTTTTACGCTAGTGGAGTCTCAGCCTTATTTCCATTTGTATTTATCCACATGAATATTTTCTCCTTATTGCATTAAAATGAACAATATCCATTCTTAATTAAATTTCTTGGCAACAGCAAAAAATACAAAATAGCAATTTCCACTTCTAAAAGAAAAAGCAGTGGTCTAAACCAGCCTCTGGGCAGGTTTAGCAAGTTGATTTAAAAACCAGTTTCTAATCATTGTCTTAATCAAAATCATTTAGAAACATTGTTTTAGAAATGTGCTTTTTCATTGCATCACGGCTTTAACAAATTTTAAACTGCATTTACACTTCGTCTCTGCAAGTGATTCATATAGCTTTAAATTCACATCTCACAGGTTCCATCTTAGACCAGCTGTTCTGTGGAAAAAATTTGACAATACCACTGAAATAATGCAATTTTCTAGTTTTCTCAAGTTTCCATCTCAGGAAAGTTTCATTACTTGCAGATTTTACTATATTATCTCAATAACTAAAACTTTAAATTATTTTAATATGTTGACCATCTTGCAGATGCTGGCACTTATCTTCAATGCCAAGATATTTTCATCAGTACAGTAGAGTCCCGAAAACTCGGCACCCGATAACCTGGCAGTCCAGATAACTTGGCCACACTCTGGCAGGGCGAAAAAACCCCTAGTTAATTTTCATTATAGACAGCTTTATGCCTCAAAGTATTTTTCTGAGGTCTGTCTTATCAGGTAAATTACTGTATACTGTATAATCATTAATTTTCATTTTCATGCAGTAAAGGCTCTATGCCTTTATAAAGTATGTACTTTTCCTTTGTTTAAGGGTATTTGGGCAGTTTATTCTCTGTTGTAGGCCTATTCTCAAGCAAACAATACATACAAGTACAGTATTTTCTGAGGAAACACTCATACTTATTCTTTTTTAACCCTATTCCTGATAACCCGGCATTTTCACAAACTTGGCCACCCTTCGGTCCACATTAGGCCAAGTTTTCAGGACTATACTGTATTCTTAAAAAATAAATTCTTATATTATAAGCAAATAAAATAACTTAAAAGTAAACTAATCTTATTTGCTATTTGGTTACTTCTCTGTAAAACATTTAAAACATGAAATAAGCAATTACCACATTTTTGCAGACTGACCAACATGGCATACCATTTGTAATGGAGGTGTTTGGAGATAGAAAAAAAAACCAAAGGAATATATCACAGAGTCATTTTGGGGGGAGCTATATCTTGTGAAGGGTTGCTCATAGAGATACGATTCCTTTGACTTTTTTCTTCGTATGAGTATGTTTTACAGCTCTGTTAAGGTTCCAAATGTATCATTTAGAGCTTGAATTGAGCCGTAGAAAAAGTTCAGGTATCAAATTAAAGCTCTTACCCTGTAGATGATGTTGCTTAATTATGAGAGATTGGAGAAAGATGCAATGGTTCAGGTGTGGTGGAGTGGCAAAGACACAATGTTAAGTCTAAGAGAAAAAACACTGCAAAAAGGTCGCGTGACACACTCGGTGCCCATCTGCATCCAACGTGCCACTACACAACAAAGCTTAAGCAATGGCATCTCAAACAATATAGTCGGTAAGAGATCTTATGATTTTTTGTTTATAGCACTTTATATATGAGGGTCAAAGTATACCTAGGTAACACCAATGGCAGCGCTTCAGTTAGGTTAGGTTAGATATTTAGGTTTAGATATTTGAACTCAGGGGACCAAGACAAGTTCAACGGTACCCTACTTTTGGACCAGAGACCAAAAATAAGAAAGTTATTATCTCTTGGAGGGACAGGTTAGGTTTCTCAGACAAGACATGAAAGTGGTGCATAGGACTGGCTGACCGCGAGTGACAGTGAGCGTGTTGGCGGCTGAGGGGCCATAGGCCCCAAGGGTCAAGGAGCACGGGAGCGTGCAAAAAGGTCTTAACTCCAACTGCAGACGATCAGTGTGCTCATAGATCAACATCTGCCTCTGTTGAAGATATATATGGCCAACTTGCTAAACTGCCTGTTAAATAAACGATAGGCTTAGCAGAGAGTGATGCAACTCCCAATCATCACGCAATCACCAGAAAAAGTATGACAACTTTTTTATTTTTCGTCTCTGGTCCAAAAGTAGGGTACCGTTGAACCTGTCTCAGTCCCCCGAATTCAAATATCTAAATCTAAATATCTAACCCAACCTAACTGAACTGCCACCATTGGGGTTACCTAGGTATAATTTAACCTATATTAGTGGAAAAAAATTCTGCAAGTTTTGGAAATGTCTAATGTCTATTAAATTTCCCTTCTTTTTTTTTTTAAAAAAAAAAAACAAAAAATTAAAAGAAAACGTGTAATGGTCTTAATCGAAATAATTACCTGTTATTTTTTTATATAAAATATAAATTTACCTGCATCCAGTAGAAACATTTTCTAGATGATGATTTAAATTTTAGAACGAAAACTCTCCCAGTAGTGCATTGAGCCACTTTTTTAAATTCGACGTCATCAGGAAAAATTATAAGATCCTAAAATATTAAATAAATAATGCGTTATATTAAATATATTTATTTATTTAAATAATACTGAGCATAATTATTTTACACACATCTTCGACTAATCCTGTTTTTCTATCCTTCCAACAGAAATGCATCAAACAATCTTCAGTCTGATGTATGTAAACTAAACCTTTTCTCTTATCTGGATAGACCATATTTCCTTTCATACTCATTTTACCGGCACGAAATTCGACTAAATATTTGTTTTGTGATTGCAGCGATGAATTCCCACCAAATAAAAATGAGCGAGACATTCTTCTCAAATTATAGTTACAATCACAATTCAAACAGTACAATCCGAACAACTAAAATGACTTTGCAACTGAAACAATTCCCTTTAAGTGTTGCCAGATCAGATTGAATAAAAATCTAATTCTTGTAAGCTTAGCTTTTTTATTATATACTCCTTTAAATTTAAGGATTTTCCTTTGGCTGTCCATATTGTGTGTTTTAGGAATCCATTATAATCGAGATACCTCTTGTCGTAGATACACAAATACTTTTGGATGTTTTCGATAAATCTTTCCATATCTATTCTAGAGTAGCCACGAGGGAACTTACACAAAAGCTTGTTTTCCACCATTTTCACACCATGTCACAACGACCTAGATTTCACCGAATTCTGATTGTTGGATGGTACCGTTTTACAGCCGTATTTGCGTCAAAAGTTGAACACTGCTTAATCGCTTTTACTCTGGTTTCACAACCTGCTTGGACGTAAAATATCATGGTCAAGTGATTAAAAGCTTTTACAGCGAGGTGTTTTACGCCCATTTTTACGCTAGTGGAGTCTCAGCCTTATTTCCATTTGTATTTATCCACATGAATATTTTCTCCTTATTGCATTAAAATGAACAATATCCATTCTTAATTAAATTTCTTGGCAACAGCAAAAAATACAAAATAGCAATTTCCACTTCTAAAAGAAAAAGCAGTGGTCTAAACCAGCCTCTGGGCAGGTTTAGCAAGTTGATTTAAAAACCAGTTTCTAATCATTGTCTTAATCAAAATCATTTAGAAACATTGTTTTAGAAATGTGCTTTTTCATTGCATCACGGCTTTAACAAATTTTAAACTGCATTTACACTTCGTCTCTGCAAGTGATTCATATAGCTTTAAATTCACATCTCACAGGTTCCATCTTAGACCAGCTGTTCTGTGGAAAAAATTTGACAATACCACTGAAATAATGCAATTTTCTAGTTTTCTCAAGTTTCCATCTCAGGAAAGTTTCATTACTTGCAGATTTTACTATATTATCTCAATAACTAAAACTTTAAATTATTTTAATATGTTGACCATCTTGCAGATGCTGGCACTTATCTTCAATGCCAAGATATTTTCATCAGTACAGTAGAGTCCCGAAAACTCGGCACCCGATAACCTGGCAGTCCAGATAACTTGGCCACACTCTGGCAGGGCGAAAAAACCCCTAGTTAATTTTCATTATAGACAGCTTTATGCCTCAAAGTATTTTTCTGAGGTCTGTCTTATCAGGTAAATTACTGTATACTGTATAATCATTAATTTTCATTTTCATGCAGTAAAGGCTCTATGCCTTTATAAAGTATGTACTTTTCCTTTGTTTAAGGGTATTTGGGCAGTTTATTCTCTGTTGTAGGCCTATTCTCAAGCAAACAATACATACAAGTACAGTATTTTCTGAGGAAACACTCATACTTATTCTTTTTTAACCCTATTCCTGATAACCCGGCATTTTCACAAACTTGGCCACCCTTCGGTCCACATTAGGCCAAGTTTTCAGGACTATACTGTATTCTTAAAAAATAAATTCTTATATTATAAGCAAATAAAATAACTTAAAAGTAAACTAATCTTATTTGCTATTTGGTTACTTCTCTGTAAAACATTTAAAACATGAAATAAGCAATTACCACATTTTTGCAGACTGACCAACATGGCATACCATTTGTAATGGAGGTGTTTGGAGATAGAAAAAAAAACCAAAGGAATATATCACAGAGTCATTTTGGGGGGAGCTATATCTTGTGAAGGGTTGCTCATAGAGATACGATTCCTTTGACTTTTTTCTTCGTATGAGTATGTTTTACAGCTCTGTTAAGGTTCCAAATGTATCATTTAGAGCTTGAATTGAGCCGTAGAAAAAGTTCAGGTATCAAATTAAAGCTCTTACCCTGTAGATGATGTTGCTTAATTATGAGAGATTGGAGAAAGATGCAATGGTTCAGGTGTGGTGGAGTGGCAAAGACACAATGTTAAGTCTAAGAGAAAAAACACTGCAAAAAGGTCGCGTGACACACTCGGTGCCCATCTGCATCCAACGTGCCACTACACAACAAAGCTTAAGCAATGGCATCTCAAACAATATAGTCGGTAAGAGATCTTATGATTTTTTGTTTATAGCACTTTATATATGAGGGTCAAAGTATACCTAGGTAACACCAATGGCAGCGCTTCAGTTAGGTTAGGTTAGATATTTAGGTTTAGATATTTGAACTCAGGGGACCAAGACAAGTTCAACGGTACCCTACTTTTGGACCAGAGACCAAAAATAAGAAAGTTATTATCTCTTGGAGGGACAGGTTAGGTTTCTCAGACAAGACATGAAAGTGGTGCATAGGACTGGCTGACCGCGAGTGACAGTGAGCGTGTTGGCGGCTGAGGGGCCATAGGCCCCAAGGGTCAAGGAGCACGGGAGCGTGCAAAAAGGTCTTAACTCCAACTGCAGACGATCAGTGTGCTCATAGATCAACATCTGCCTCTGTTGAAGATATATATGGCCAACTTGCTAAACTGCCTGTTAAATAAACGATAGGCTTAGCAGAGAGTGATGCAACTCCCAATCATCACGCAATCACCAGAAAAAGTATGACAACTTTTTTATTTTTCGTCTCTGGTCCAAAAGTAGGGTACCGTTGAACCTGTCTCAGTCCCCCGAATTCAAATATCTAAATCTAAATATCTAACCCAACCTAACTGAACTGCCACCATTGGGGTTACCTAGGTATAATTTAACCTATATTAGTGGAAAAAAATTCTGCAAGTTTTGGAAATGTCTAATGTCTATTAAATTTCCCTTCTTTTTTTTTTTAAAAAAAAAAAACAAAAAATTAAAAGAAAACGTGTAATGGTCTTAATCGAAATAATTACCTGTTATTTTTTTATATAAAATATAAATTTACCTGCATCCAGTAGAAACATTTTCTAGATGATGATTTAAATTTTAGAACGAAAACTCTCCCAGTAGTGCATTGAGCCACTTTTTTAAATTCGACGTCATCAGGAAAAATTATAAGATCCTAAAATATTANGAAGGTTATTATTGCAACCATACACAGCACACCTAGTACTCAGCATTTTGTTCTTCACCTAACATAAAAATATAGCTTTAAATATTTAATGGCTTATATTTAAATCATCTTACCTTATAAAAAACTTAGTCAAATAAAACAATTATAGAAATATTAAAATAAATCACTTCGTTAATCACAAAATTGGACGAATATTAAAAGCGAAAACTAAACATGTGCACATCCTGCTCTATGTAAATAGAGAGGTCAGGTTTCGTGCTGACGTCACTAACTTGTCATTCCTGGCTAACATTGTAGAATAGGGATCTGGCTATCCTTGTAGTATATAGTCCTTGGATTGCAACATGATTACTAGAATATAATACCCCATTCGCACTGAACATTTTAATCTATATTGTGGTAAGATCGGCGACTAGTGTCGTGGTGTGACCTCTCTTGACCGTTTCAATCTCGACTGAAACGAGGTTCAATCGCGATCGACTGAAGAGAGTTCTTGAAACTTTTTTTTTCACTCTCCGCTCTGAGGGCACTAAGAGAGCCTATTTTTGCAAGCCCATTAAAGGTTCGGCCAAGCCCACAATGGGGCAGCCGGTGGTGAAGGACGAGGCCCGACATATCCGGAAACTCCTGGGGATTTTTCGACCCGTTCGAATTCGATCCAGAGTCCCCCAGAGAGGTAGGCAGTTACCTTGACCGCTCGGCATCCGGATTTTTTGTTTTCTTTTTTTAAATAAATAATTTTTATTGTCAGAACAATATATAATTTATACAAATATAATTTTTTTATGAACAATGTTATACTGCGTTCGCACACAATCCACGACTCACTTTGATCTCGATTTACCCACAATCTGGATTGTAAACTGTCATCAGTCGAACGTCGAACTGTTCGCACAGGCAATCGGCATGAGAAGAACCCGGCTATTGCACGCGATGATAAAACTGACATAACTACGCGATAAGTCACGAACACCAACAAAAAAAATGGAAGTTTTGTTTAGAAATAAATACTTTTTATTGCCATATATCTAATAATAGCCACATCTCATCGTCTCTCCAAATATCTTTTTTATTTTACGTGTTCCGCAACAATCTTGTTTTTTCTCTCTTGTTTCAGTCGCGATTGAAACGGTCGAGAGAAGTCGCATCACTGCACAGTCGGCGACTTTGGTCACAATCTACATTGAAATGCTGTGTGAACGGAGTGTTATAGTTTTACCAAGGTTATAAAATAGTTACATTCAAAATAGTTTACAACGGCACTGCAGGTTTAGTTGTAGCAGAGTCGGTAGATTAACTGGTCTTTCGACTACCTATCTTCGCTCGTTGCTAAAATCAACTAGAGATAAATGTTACCACCAGGGCACTGCAATCACTGCAAGAGCGCTAGATCGAATCACTGTGAGGACGAATGTTTTCTTTTTATTGAAAGATATATAATCTTTGAGTTCGATTTCATAATTTTTTATATGCATTTTATTAAAATCAACTAGAGTCAAATGTTACCACCAGGGGCACTGCAATCACTGCAGGAGCGCTAGATCGAATCACTGTGAGGACGAATGTTTTTTTTTTTTGAAAGACATATAATCTTTGAGTTCGATTTCATAATTTTTTATATGCATTTTATTATAATGAAAAAGCTTTTATTTAAACCCAAAACCAGGTTTATGGATAAATAAATAATAAAACATTAAAATCTTAATAAAACATTAAACATCTATCGCTGAGAAATGTTTATTTAATAAAATACGTTCGAACTCATTTACACCCGAGGATGGTTTATNGTACTTAGGACAATTAGGGAAGTTTGATGGATATGCATCCGACGTTAATGCCCAGCGATCTCGTGGAATTTCTACTTTCTCTCCATTTATAACATGAGAGAAGGTTTTTAAAATAAATCTACTCGCAAAATGTACGTCACAAACGTAACATTTATTTGTTAGCATCTTGTCGTCTCGTGGAATGCATCGCATCCACTCCTCAATCTTATCGCTAGGAGCACGGAAGAAATGTCTCTTCTCGTTCGATGACTTATATCCTGCCTTGCATCCTGGCACAAAGCACGTTGGCATTTTTATGTATCTAAAAAAAAACAATTATTATAGGTTAAAATCACTGACTTCAGTATATACCTAGCAAGAACAACGATCTCCTGCTAACAGTGGCGCCAACTAGTGGCAAATATTGTCTCTAGCAAAGTTTGAACTATTAATCGAAAGACCAGTTAATCTACCGACTCTGTCCTTTTGCCATTCTATTATCCAATCGGAAGTAACGACCTAACGAATCTGTTATTTAGGGCGCGTTTGGAAATTGTAACCGGTGTTACCGGTAACACCGGTTACAATTTCCAAACGCGCCCTTAGAAAGTGTTATCGCTAATCTAACTAATGTACTGTACTGTACTATACATACCGGTATGTACACTTCATCTTTGTTTTATCAACGTGGAAATAAAAAGACCCGCTATTTTGTTGGAAAAAATTTGCTTAGAGGAAAGCGTAAGAGTAAAATTCGTCAGGAATAAACCATCCTCAGGTGTAAATGAGTTCGAACGTATTTTATTAAATAAACATTTCTCGGCGATGGAAGGCGTTTAATGTTTTAAGTGTTTTAAAAACGATTTGTTGAAAATGTTTTAAGTGTTTTAAAAATTCTAGATCTAAAAGAATAAGAACAACCGAGACTTTCGAAGGCCAATTTTCATTTGATGAAAATGTTTTAAGTGTTTTAAAAATTTCATTTGATTTTCATTTGATTTTCATTTGATTTTCATTTGATTGAAATTTCATTTGATTTTCATTTGATGAAAATGTTTTAAGTGTTTTAAAAATTCTAGATCTAAAAGAATAAGAACAACCGAGACTTTCGAAGGCCGTGAAGTCCGACCCGAGCAACATCAAATGAGAATGGTTTTGTCAAGGGCTGCAGAAACAGCATCACAACGTCAAGCTCGACTTGCAGCTCTTCTCAATTCTTCAATCCCTATTTTCTCATAAAAATATTCCGTCATCTTGATGGAAAATTTCTAGTTTTAATTAATATAATTTGAAAGAAATAACATGATAAAAATCGTTGCCTGCTCGGAGTGCAATCTCCAAATTGTAAAAAACAAAAATCCTGATATGATGTTCATTTAAGAAAAGTTCATCAAATTAAACGACCTAAGTTTTAAGAAAAATAAATAATTAATTATAATGAAATTTATGATGTCTGCGATAAAAGATTTTCGTTTTTGTATAGTTGAGAAACACAAAAATACAGAAATAAATGCTCATATAAAAGAGATTTTGTAAAAAAAAGAGAGCAATGTTATAAGTAGAAAATTAAGTAACCTGTCATATTGGGTCGAAAACGTTGTTTAATAAACATTTTTCAGCATCAGTTGTTTGATGATTCATTAAGTAGAAAATTAAGACTTCGACGTAACAATACATTTCTTTTTCGTGACTTATTAAAGGCTTGTCTTATTTTTGAACATGAATTACAACTTGACTTTAGAGAAATATCAATTTAGCTCTGAAAATGGTAATTTTCAATTAATTGTAGGCCTATTACTTTTTATTGTGGTTACTGTATATTCATCTTAAATTAACATATTTATTAATATTTACCAATTCGAGTATAGTGCTTAAAAGAAATAATGATTTTTAATTAATGCTTATTCGACAGAATTTAAACACTGGAAAGAAAAATTGGAAAAGTTTATCTGTACCGGTACATGTTTTAGACAGATCTGCTAAATATCGTAAGGACTGTCAGATAAAGAAATGTTATCTATAATTGTCATTGACCTTACGAATATCGAAAGTCTGGGGAAAACATGAAAGTTCCAAAAGAGATATCGTGGAATTTTAAAACCAAATCTTAAACCCTGAAAATACATTTATTGTACAAAGATGTCTTTTGTAAAATATAAATAGAATATTATTTTCAAATTAGCATTAATGTTAATCATTAAAATTAAAAATGAATATTGCAAATGCATGCAAGCCTTTGATATCTTTCGGTGAAGTACTATATGAATACCTGCATACATCATTAGTGTCACATGAGTAAAAAAGTTGGAAAGCACTGCTATACAGTAATTTCTCGTCTCTATTTTTTATTTTATATCGTGTTTTTTATTTTTTGTCTTCAGCCCAGCTAATTGAAACAATGTTAAATTTCCTTTGACTTAATGCATTTTTTAACTTGCATTTTACAGTACTTTTTAATTAACACTTGAGAACTATATTAAAGTTTTATAGACAATTATTTGACTAAAACTTTTAAATTTATCAACGTATAATTTATCATATACAATAATTTAGCAACTCGATTCCTATATTTATATTATTATTTTGGAAGAAGTTTTTAAAAGAAACAAAACGCATTTGGCGTATATTCCAGTAATTGTATATGTAAACGAGTTTAATTAAAAATTTGATTGAAGTAAAAGAAGACAAAGTAGTGTTTATACCCGATAAACAAAGCATATTGGAAGAAAATCGATTGTTTTCATCTAATTTCTTTCAAATTATATTAAAATGGTTTAAGTGAAAGGTATGAAAATAGTAAAAATAGATATATTCTTCGTTCGTATATAATAAAGGTAAAATTTTTTTATAAGTTTCAATATGGATTATTATAGCATGAATTTTGAATTGAATGAAACAAAACATGGCTTCTTTCCTAATTTTTTGTTAACAGGATCACTGGATATATTTCGCTAGAGGCGTTGCAGTCGGTTTTCACCCAGCTAAATGTGTTCCTGCAGCTAAACGCTCCATATAAACTGAGAAGAAGAAGACGCTCGTGTCATTTCAATTCTTGGTTATAATTGTATTAAAATAGGTTCGGGATTCTTCCAGTAAAATGGAAGAATATGAAGGCAATGTCGGATTTATTGGTTCAGGAAAAATGGCTTATGCATTAGCCAATGGAATATTAAAATCTGGTAAATAAGTTTTGACATTTAAATATGTACTGTACAGTGTCTCACAGGGAAGTGATCGTTTCAGAGGGCGCATCGCCTGATAAAAAGCGTCTTTAATACAACTGGATAAACAAGCCAATGATAGCCATTTCATTTTAAACGGATTATACCATTGGTTTGCTTACCTCGCTGTGTTACACGTCCTTTATTAGGCAATATGCCCACAATTTCGAAATGATGAATCAAAATCTGAAAATGCAACGTAACTTTTTAATTTAGTTGAATATATTTCAAGATGTCTCACGATAAATTTTAATAAAAAATAAATTTAAAGTACTTGTAATTATCGTATGAAAATAAAATCTGTTATATATCACAATTTCTCTTCACAGTGAAATTGGTTCATGTAAAGTTCCTACATGCAAAGTATGAGTTTGCATATTTTTTTTAACTCTACTGTATGGGTGCTAAGAGGATTTTTTTAGCAAGCCCATTATGGGTTTGGCCATGTGGTGAGGGACAGGACCAAACATAGGGGACAGATCTCCCCTAAAAAACTTCTCAGGGATTTTTGATCTGCCACGGGTTTAAATTAGTGGGTTGCCACCTTAACCACTTGGCTATCCAGCCATTGAATATAAAGCTGAGATTGAAAGTATTAATTGCTTTTAATGAAAATTTTGGTAATTTCATAATTTTGGTATGGTTCTCAAACAACAGGACATCAAACAAGGATTGCAAAATATGAGCGGGTCATTCACTGTTACAAGCTTGAAAAAAGCAAATAGCATAGCAAAAGTTGTAAATTAAATTAGGGCAATAGTCTAGCACAGTGTTTTTCAACCTGTAGGGTGCGACCCCCAAGGGGGTCGCAGGTATAAGAAAAAGACAAGTGTTTGTAGGTCCTACACTACAATAAAAACAACTAGAATTTCAGTGAGAAGGCTGTGCCTGTTTATTTTACAGAACAATTGGTTTTTCGATCGATATTTAGGTCTCAACAGAAAGAAAATTAAATATGTAGTTTTTAAAATCACTGATATAGATTTAATATGGCCCTGGGGGTCGCCAGAAATTTTTAACTTGTAAAGGGGTCGCATATTCAAGAAGGTTGAAAAACACTGGTCTAGCATATAACTGAAAGATTTAGGCAGAATCTTGTCTTTGACTTTTCCTATGTTTATATGGGGTCAGTGTATCTTTAATCTGTCTTCTCCACTTCTCTCTATCCAGGGTGTCCATTCTTCTCCATCTCCTCTCCCAAATTCTATGCCATCTTGTCTCTTTATCTCAAGCAGCTTTATACCTGTAATCAGTTCGTAATTTGTAAAGAAAAGTTACTTTCCGTAGATAAGATTTCTTCTCAAGAAATATTGCTGAGAGAAGCAGCTGCAGATAATTCAAAAAGTGGAGGGCAAGGCTATGCATGCTGTCATTGCAAAAAGAAGTGTTCCACGAATAAATGCAGTTGTAAAAGCAAGGGATTCTTGTGCAATTCAAAATGTCATAACAGTTAAGTTGTTGCAATAAATAAGATTGTATAATGTCAATCACATAATATATGTGTAAGTTTACTATTGTGTATTATTTTTCTTTTCTGATTAAGAATGTACCATTCATTTTAGGTTCAACAATTTATGTGCTGTTACTTAAGTTTTCTCTTATCTTGACATATTAAAAAGTTGCATTTTTGTCTTAATGTAATAAAAATATTTTTATTCAACATTCACCATCAGTGCATGATGAATGTTGACATTTGCCAGTGTAAGTGAGAAATAATGATATTTAGCAAATATTTTGTACATACACGAAATGACTGTGTGAATGCTGACATTCACCAAAGAATCTGAACATTGCCAGATATGTCTTTCATAGTAACATGTATACTAATAAATTGTGTGTGTATGTGTGTATATACACACACACCTGTTAAGAGCCTGTCTTTTTCAAGAATATTCAGATATAAAGAAGAACAGAAAAATCAGTACCTGAAAAACAAATTTAATTTGAAAATAAATAATTATTCTAAACATATACATAAAAATAATATATTTTCTCAAATATTATAAATTATTTTGGGATAATATATCAAAAATAGTGGTTAATGCTGTTGCAATTTTTTAAAGTGAGTCTCTGTTTTCCTCAGATATGGAAAGTTCTTTCTCCCTCAACTCCAGTTCTTTTTTCTTCAATTTAATTTTTTCCTGTTCTAGTTGAATAAATGAATCTGTTCTTTTCTTTGCTTCACTTAATTATTGTTCAGCGGAAATGTGTTTTCTTTTTCTTCTTTTTACTACAAAACATAAATTCACATGGAAAACTTAGTCTTTGTATACTCTAACTATAAAATTAACGGGAGTAACACTAATGTAAAACACTAGAAAAAGAAACGGAAACGTGAGAGAGTGCTCTATTGAGCATACTATTCTCTTATTCCGTCCTATGTTAAGTGGATTCGACTATAAAATTATAATTCTGAAAAAGTTCTAATTTGAAGTAAAAATATTAAATACTGTAAGAGAGAGAAAAAAAACAGAAATTCTCAGAACGCATACTAGTTCCTCATTTAATTATAGGAAATCAAAGGGAGGAATGACTGTTTTTATCACAGAATTTCTTTTTACGAGGCTCGAACCCACAACATCCAGTTGTACCAGTTCAACATCGAAAGAGCGTTACCACTGCTCCATCAAGCCTCACGACACATCTTTTGTTTTCATATATAACTATATGAGATTTGCCATTTGTAAAATGCAGAATCTCCTATACTTATAGTTAATATATTTGCCAGGCGTATGTATTGGGTTCGAAAATGAAATCGTTCTTTATCTAAGCACTCGAAATAATAAATTTCTTATGACTTACGCAAATCTTAACGTATATTATTTCGTAACGGAAACATCATGGTAACATTTCACACGTTCTTTTTTAAATATTATTTTGTTTAAACTAAAATAAACTTTACGTTAAAAATTATTCGTAGACTATATTTTAAGGGCATCTTGGTATAATAATATTAAATGCTGTCGTCTGTCGCAGGCTTTAATATTTCTTTGTTTTTAACATTTTAAAACGATTAATAAATCAAAATTATTTTAAAATTTACTTCTAGTTGTTTTTGGTTACTGTTTACGTATTTATGGACATTAGAGGAAATGACGCGTTATCCTGTAGTATAAAAGATTTGCTTAGTCACCCGTTTGTCTCTGTGCCGTATGACAAAGCACGCGCAGCACGTATTGTCAATCTTTCTATCGAGGTCAAATAACGTCGCAGTCAAAAAGCGGTATGAAGATTCTTGATAGGTTTAACTAAGGTTCTATGTTAAGTCTGACGAAAAATAGTGGATATGACAGAATGGTCGGATGAGACGTCGATGTAAATTTGTACGATTGTCTGTGGGGTTGCCGACTGGGGTGAAATTTTCAAGACGGTGGAGGGGTCATAACAACCGTATGTGGGAGTGATATATTCACTGTGAGGTGTCCATCGTTTAAACCGTTTATTAAAATATAAAATTTTCTTACAATATTACCTTAATATTAAGTTGTCTGAAAAAAATGTTTGGGTTTTCTTTCCCCGCAGTTCGGCGAAAACAGCGAAAAGATCGATGGCCCGGGGCTCACGGCACGACTTCGGGCGATTTTCTCCGACGAACCGGTGAACCTGGGCGGCGCAGGGTGGACGGCAGAGGCGGTTTCTTCCCTGGATGTCGGAAAAATTTCTTTCGAACTTCTGCTGAAGTACACACGTCCAAGATGGGAAAACTACGAACCAAGAACGTCACGTCCTCGATTCGCGCATTTTTATAAGTTTTACACCCAAAGTCGTCTTTTGATTGGTCTTTCATCGTCACCCGGCGACAACTCGTAACCTGTCGGATGGCGCGGGAGAGATCAACTTTGCGACTAAACACTTTTCCCTCGACTTTGGTCTTTTCTACACAATTCGCCCTTTATTTTAATATTTAAAAAAAAACTTTCATTGTTCAAACGAGATCTTTAATTCTTCTCTTTCGTATTTGAAAAGGAGACCTTTAATTTCTCGATTGATTGTCCAAATTCGGACCGCCAAATCGACTTTCGTCCGAGCTCTCACATTCATACCAAATCATCAATTCCATGGCGCTCAGAAATTGAAAAAAAGCAACGATCTTCGCCTCCTGCAGCGGACTTCTGTCTTCGAACTAAGCGGAAGTTAAATGGTCATTATAAAGAGAGGCGTTTTCAATTTGTGTCGTCTTCCGTCTTCGTTATACGCCGGCGTCAAGGAGTACTGTACATACACGTGCATTACATCGGTATATACTACCGTAGAGTACCTATATAATTCAGAGTAGCGACACACGAGACATCGCCGCCATGTTCTGGCAACTGTCATCACGTGACCTCTGAGTTTACATCAATAAATGACGATTATTTCAGTTTAATATAGCATTTTATTCGGTGTTTTTTATTCAAGAATATGACGGATGGATGACTCTTACAGGCTCGATAAGTTTTAAATCTCTAGCATTAAAATTTTTAAATAAATTAATTTTGTTTTCTTATTAGAAAACTTCTAGATCGAAATTGCAAACGTTATTTTAAAGCAAACGAGAGATCAGTCAGTATTTCATGAAATAGATATTCGGCTTGTCAAAACTTTTACTATATTTACTAATTTAATAGGATTTAATGTTGG